TCCTCCAGGGAATGTGGTTAAAAGAAAGGTGTCTGCAAACTTGTCAGTACAGATTTGTCACTGTCAAGTTGTGTCTGAATCTTGATCTCATTATTGTTCTGTTTAGTTTAACAGAAGCTCAGCCATCCTTCCATTTATGCAAGGGGAAAAAAACCCCAAAACAAACTCTGCATTTTCATTGCAGTTGTTGCTCTAATGTAAAAAATTTTAACTGCTGAAGTCCATACTTGGATCATCTTTAAACAAGAATTTTGTTTGAGGTAAATTGAGTTTACTGGAAGGAGAGATGCTGGAGTGTCTCAGTCTTCATTTGATGCTTTCAGTCTTCTGATGCTGCAGCTGCCTCTGCAACCTCGTTTTCTACAAACCACTGCAAATGTTCTGGTCCTGGCTGTTGTCTTCAGTGTGCACAGTTGCTTCCATGGCACACTTCACTTTTTCATCACCTGCATGCTCTCAGCTTTCTCTTTTTTGCAGCCTGAATTTCCTGACTTGTTTTTTTTTGCCTCCTTGCTGCAAAAGGCTCCTAAGAGAATGATGTCAGAAAGGTCTAGCTTCTTTGATATGACAACTGTGTCATTTTTTGTTATTTTAAGTAGGTTTTTTCTTTCCCATTTTCAAATATTGTAAATTATTTTTTATACCCAGTGTAACTTTTCAGTTGTTACTTAGAGTTTGTGGTAATTAAAGGTGCCATGCATGTGATTGAGGTCAGTTTTTTGGTTAGGAATTAAACACAGGATCTGCTTAATACTAACATTCATTTAGTTACGTGTGAGGGGCTGTATTTCTTTCCATTGCATGCAAGTGAAGTTGATTCAACTGAAAATCTGAGTTCTGAGCATGGGTCAGAAAATGTGACTTTTCCCTAATAGTAAAGGACAGGGATAGGGCAGCAAAAGCTGCAGTTCTGCAGTGGATTGACTTGCATAAGCAATTGTTTTGGAAAGCCACAAGTGGTGGTTTCCCAGATGTTCAGCCTCCTGTGGTTGTGTCTCAAGCTTCTTATCAAATGTGAATGCCACAGATAGTTTTTTCATAAGCACTACACAGAAGGAGGAATTGGTGCCAAACCCTTCTCTTTATCTTCCCCTTCAGCCTGCTCTTCTACCCTCTGGTCTTCGGGTTGCACAGTCATTGTGGTCCATTTAAAGGCTGTATATTTGCTTTGCAAAGGGCCCTGTTATTCCTCTCCATATCCAGAGAACAGAGGCAGCTGAAGCCATCTCAAGCTATGAAGCACCTGTGCAAGGCTGTGAAAGATTTCATAGCTTGGGTATAGAAAAGAACTTCTGGTTCTGGTCCTCTTCCTTTTGTGGTTTGTGTGGTTGGTTGCCTTTTCAAGGGTAAAGGGCTTGGAAACCACAGGACTTAGCTTTTATCTGAGCCTTATTGAGAGTGTGGTGGCTCCATTTACATCTCAGCCTGGTGGGGAAAGGGTCTTCTCCACTAACAGGGAGAGCAATTAATCTCTTCCCATCCTGAACTGAGGAATTAATTAATAGCACCTTTGGAGGCTAACAAGTGTGACAAACCTGTGCAAGTTCTCCCTTGTAATGCCTGATTTTATATCTCTATAAGGCCTAACCTAGTCCACAGAAACTTTCCATCAGGAGTTTCATATTTACTCTTAACAGTTCTCTTGAACACATGCATTGCCTTTTAGATTTAAATAGTGTACTCTGAGATGAGAGCAGTATCTCAGCACTGAATATATCCTTACAGCAGAGCCAAAAAGTCCAGAATTTCAAATCTAGTTTTTGAAAATAACAGGGACTTGGATATTTTTTATAACAATACCATGTAAACAGTAATTTTTCATGTGGTAGTGTAATTTAATTCTAATTTATTTGTACATTCTCCTGAGGTCCTATTAGGGGTATAGGAGCTGGTATGATGAGGTTAATGTGAAGCAAATCAGTTTAGGCTAAATGGAAGTGTTTAGTTTGTGGGGACTGGATTTGCTTAAGTAATAAGGTGTTGGAGTGTAAGTTGTAGGCTGCCATAATTATCATGTAATGCTGTAATTTATTCCATTTGATGACAGAAATGCTTGAAATGGTACTGAAGTGTCCATAGTGGAATATGTTAATTGAATGTTCATGGAGAAACACACGGTTGGTGAAGATTTCTGTATAATTATTGCATGAAATTTTGCATGCTGATTAAGCAGTTAAATTTTGTCTTGTCATAAGAAAGGCAGAGTGACTGCAATTGAATTTCCTTGCATTTTATAGTATGTGAGTGCTGAAATGAAAGACAGTGGTGTTTGGCCACTGTTCTTGGTTAATAGTTAAAACTTGAACATTCTATAGTTGAACTGGTGTTGTATTCCAGAGGCAAGGAAATGATGTAACGTAGCTGGATTTGCCTTGGTTTTTAAGGCATAGCACTTTTCATGTAGGATCCTCCTGACTGAGCATGTTACCTTAGTGAGGAGAGACAGGAAGGCCAGAAAGGGGCAGCTTTGCCAACTGCATTTTACAGATGAAACCTGTGGGAGCATGGCAGGAGCATCAGAGACCTTCAGTGGTGGGACAGCAAGCTCTGCACTGGGTTGGATTTTTCTGCATTGCAGATGCTCTCAGATACGTTGGTTGAAAACTCATGTTCCAAAAATGGATTTGGCTGTCAGTCCTTTTCCTAGATTGCTTTAGTCAAGTTCTGGATGTTGATAAGAAATTGTGGGCAGACATGAGAAATGTCAGCTCTGTGCAGCAGCAAGCAGGAAGGGAATAGGATACCAGCTTCCTCTATGACATGTCTAAGTTGGTTTTGATCCGCTGCTCAATAAATAAATAATTTTGAATAAAGCTCTTTGTAGTCGAGGTTGTTTATCAGGTAGGCTAGAAATGATGAAGAGAAATAGTTGAATGTTGCTAAGAATATGCTAAAACTTAGATTTCCCTGACTGAGGACAATTGCAAGTAGTAAACAGGTTTCAGATTTGGAAATCTCCCCAAATGGAGAGCCTGATGTAAATTGATTGCCTCTTTTTTATGTTGTCTGAAACGACTGTCTTTTTTTCTCTGAGAATGCTTGGAAACAATCACTGAGCTCTGGTTCATTGACTGTAAGCTCCTCCACTATTGTATTTCCAGAAATTCTGTGCATGTAACTAAGGTCACATGGCCTAGATTTCAGTGTTTGCCTGCCTTTTCATCACATCAAAACTCTACGTGAAAGTCCAGGATTAGAATCTGATTTACTTTTCCTTCCACTTGGCTAGGCTGTCATTTACCATGCCCAAAGTGCTCTCTTGGATAGTAGTGCTAAAAAAATGTACATATTCACCTTTCTCTGGTTCATCTTGTAAATTCTTTTTCTGTAGGCTCATCTTAGACTGAATCAAGCAAGACACTGGAAAGCCTTGTATGAAACAACCCATGCCAGAGTCATAAGTAATTAAAATATGCCTTTAAATAGCATAGCTGTCAAATTACCTGAAATTATCTAAAAATGGTCTAACGAAGCATGCATAGCATATTGAAAGGTACAAAAGGTATCAATCTTGGCTAGAGCGTGCCAGTGATTTTGTTTCCCCCCATCTCTCAATTAAAACATGACCAGAATAATTTGCAGTTAAGTAGAAAATGCAGCTAACAGTGCAGGGCTGTGTTGTATAGTTTGGGTGGAGTTCTGATGCCCTTTTCTTGCACAGTGTGAGCCAAGCTAAATCAGCTGATTTACCAGTTAACCCTCTGAGCATGCACACAGAATACCACACTTTGCATTGTGCATCCACAATTAAGCTGCTAAGTGAAGAACACTGTACATACTGGTTGAAAATAAAGAACTTTTTCACAAGTATTTTTGTAAGAAAGAATTAGCTTTCCCTACAGTTTGATTTAAATAAAAGAAATGCCCCACCCTGACCTCGAACTAACAGCACAACAACCCTTGCAAACAGTTTTCCAACAGAGAACTCCTTAAATCAGTCTTTATTCTAATCTTACACTAGACATTCCTTAGAAATAAATTTAAGAGCAATACCAGGACGTCTGGCTGTCTAGAATAAAGCCTCAGATTTCCAATTATCTTTAGCAGATATCAAATAGCACAGTAACTAATTGTCTTGGAATTATTACTTCTGTTATTAAAATTGAGTTTTGTTTGCAAATTTGGCTACTTGTGGATGAATATTCTGGTATAGCTGTCTACAAATCTTAGTTGCAGAAAAGATAGAAGAACAGCTATTCTGAGTATAATTTGAATTTGCAGCTTGTGTGGGAAGATGAATTCCTTGGGAGACTGAATCATATAATCCCCTGAAGTTTTCTGGAAGCTGTCTCATTATTGGAAATTACTTTTTGTGTGAATATTTAATTTGGAGCAGGGACCTTTGAAAATTCAGATTTTATAGTTTATAATCACAGAAACACAGATTTTTTTTTTTCTTCTGGGCTAAATTCAAGTATTGTTAGCTCATATCACCCCACTGCAGTGTATTGGAATAAGGTCACAACTGGAATTTGACCATGTGGCTGAAATGTGCTTTGCTTGTTGACAATGTCTTCTCATTCTCCAGCTCATATTGCTGTGCACAATGCCTGCTGTGAAATAAAGCCCTGGAATTACAGTGGAAGTTTGTTCTGGACGACTGGATTAAAGCAGGGCTTTTGCAGCCACAAAGGAAGATATGGAGGTGCAATGTAAGTTCAGTAAGTTTTTACTGGTGTCACTTGTAGCATTCAGCTGTACTGTGCAGTAGGGAGAGTTGTGGGGTTGCACATATGGTGTTCCAAGGGTTGTTCAGGGCCTTGGCATCTCTGCTGTAATTGTCACTTTTAAAGGCTTACTCTGGTTCTCAGAGGGGTGACTGCATTCATGAAAATAGTGAAAATGGACCACATGACAGAAACAACTGCTTGTTTTTTGGACCACTGGGAAAGCTGGGAGTGCTTCTAAATCCCTGTGGAGAATGAGAGATGCCCTGGAACATGGCCTAAATCCTGGTTGTTTCAAGGGAGTGCCTGCTGGGAGGAACGGGACAGCTATTGTTGCTGCTGGAAATGAAAGGTAAAGGGAAGAAAACCTCCTTTGCAACTTGAAGATGAAAACTTCAGAGAAACTGGGCTTCAAATAGAGAGCACACAAGTTTCTGGAAGAATTATAAACCACTCCATGACCTTGAAGAAAGCTACCATGTTTTTGTGAGGGTACACTCAGCTCCTTTGTGGTGAAAACCCCTCAAGTTGCCAAGGTCCTGGTTGTTTTTACACTGGCCCTGCTTTGCAGCCACTTCCATCTCTGAAATTCTTAAGAATATCTTTTATTGACTTAGAATTGCAATCATTGGGCAGGTGAGCATGGCTAGGTGTCCCTTTCTGCCCCAGTGCCTGATTTTTGTGATGGTTTTGTACCTGTCAGTTCAACTGAAGCAATGATGTCAAGGCAGAAGGTTTTGCAGAGACAGCTATTAGTTTACTTTACTGGGTTTTTTAATGCTTTTACTGTTATCTTGATTTTGTTGTAAGTCTTTATTTTGTTGTTTTAAAAGCATTCTGTGATAGCTGTACAGCACCCTTATATACACTTCCTTTGTACAGAGGCATTTCCTCTCAACTCTTTTGTTTCATGTGTCAGTATTACTTATCTGATGACAGTGGTGCTTGTAAATACAAGACTTGATCTGTCATCTTCCATGCCCTCAGACTGATGTGTCCCCTGTCGCTGTCTAAACAAGAAAAAAGTTTTCTCTGTAAATATTTGCCAGTTCAGGGCAGCATTCCAAGTGGCAAACATGTCAACCAGAAGTGTGGTCCTTCCCACATGCTGCTCCCCATTCCAATCCAAAAAGAGCATTTGGCTTGGACATTCTTGGCAGAATTGCTTCCAAAAGCTCGTCCATCTGCTCATATAGCAAAGTGCTGTGCAAGGAGCCAGTAACACGTAGTTGTAGAAGACTTGAGTGTTAATCATTCATGAGAGCAGCTGGAGTGAAAGTAAATCCAGAACACAGCTCTGAGTTGGGCTGCTCTGAATTTTCAGACAAGTCAGAAGCTTTACTTCCAGAGTGCTCTATGACAGAAGTGGACTCTATCACTTAAAGCATAATGAGGAGCACTTAAAAAGTTATGATAAAACCCAATTATTATCTAAACCACAGATTTAGAAACAGGGCAATAAAGATGCAACTTGAATTCAGATATTGCCCCTTGGCCTGTTGACCTGTTAAATGCTACCTACCAAAGTACAGTTGCATTATTTCACCAGTTTTCATGGTCATGCTCACTTGCTCTGCTCATCCAAAATGGCTTATGTAAAATGTCATGCTCATTATTTGCTTAATGTTGGTTCATACATTCCTGTGACCCAAATGAGTGTTACTGAGCAGGTATTTTAGTTGTTGCATTTAACAGTTGCTTGCATTCTTGGTAGACTCGTTGATTTTAAGATCTATGCCTTTTCACAGCATAATCTCTCTAGGCAGAATTTTCAGACTTTTTTGCATCTCTGATTAGTGCCTGTTCTCTGGTTGCTGGATTCAATCTGCAGCTGAGCTGTTGCATTACTGGACCTCCAGATCTGAATGTTACACATCAGCTTCGTTTATCATTAACTGGAGTCTACCTGGATTTGCTGTTGCTCTCCTCATGTGACACAATTTGCATGTCTGTGACACTGAGGTCAGTTGTCACCTGTGTGCTAACTTGATCCAATAAAACCATTAAATGCAGTATTGGACACAGGTCATGATTATCCAATTTTGCTTTTAGTGCCAATTCTAAATGTAGTATTTTGCCTTTTTGGCAGTGAATGAGAAAAAGGTTAGAGAGTGTTATATGCAAAAACTCAAGATGCCAAGACTTAGCTACATGTTTCCAGTTGCCTGCACTATAAGTTTTGGGTTGCAATCATCTTCCTTGTTAAGTATATTTTTCTGCCTAAATGTTGAATATGGGCTTTGTATGCTTGGAGAATTAATACACGGAAAAAAATGTCTTTTCTGAAGTGAGGCTTTGGGATGAAAACCAAAAAGATTTTAGCAGAGCTGTTAAGATGACTCAGCTGAGTTATAACAGTAATTTCTCCTCTCAAAACCTGGAAGGAATAAACATTTCAGATGTGCATTTTGAATGCAGTGGAATCAGTCCCTTGGACAGATGTTGTATGAAAAAACTTTGGGCATTAACTTTAGATATCAACTGTATGTTATTGTGAAAACACTGAAATGCAATATGCTGACTGGAGCTAAGAATTCAGTGTTTTACCTTTTCCTTTCTAAAGCCTTCACTCTGTGCACGCTGATGTTACAGTGTTTCACAAAGACCAGATAAGAAAATTGCTTGATTTAGTTGGTTTTTTTGGCATCAACTCAAGGGCAATGAATGGAAAATCAGTGAAAATATATCTTTCTGGGATCTCTCTCATTTCAAGGCAGTTAGAGGTCAGTTCATTCTTCCATAAAAACAGTTTGATCTGTTGCTGACATGCTGAATGTGGCCTATTTCTGTTTTAATTATTTTGTGTTTGGTGGTTTTGTTTTAGGGGGGGAGTTTTGGTTGAGGTGGGTTTTTTTTAGGCACGGATTCCTGCAGCTGTGTAGGGCAACTGTGCTAACTCCACTTGTCAATGGCAGGTAAAGGGCATTGTCTCCATCTGCAGCCCCAGTGTTGCAGATCTGCAGTCACTGTGAGCAACTGAGACCAGCTCTGAGTGACTGAGAGTGTTGAGCACTTGAAGTTTTTTGCAATATTTAAGTAGCTTAGTTGACGTGAAGGCAAACAATGCTTCCTCTTTAGCAAATTGCCTCAGGGTGACCTGATGGAAGTTTTTTCACAGATTATGGCAGTCTGGGCTGGTGTGTGGAACAAGCTTACAGGAGGTAACTTCAAGGTGACTCTTAGTGAGGCAGGAGATTTGAAATGGAAGCAGCTCCAGCGTGGCGGTGATTGGAAAGGACATTACTTGGGATTTGACAATCTGTGTACACAACTGGAGATCTGACTTAGTTCAAGACCTTATCAGTGCACAAGTGTGATGGAGATTTGCTAGCTCCTTACTCTATTGAATAAATATGAAATATTTATGTAAAAATCCCTGGATCTGAGACCACCACATATCTAGAAGCAGGGGAAGCAACTTGAAAAGGATTCTTTTGTGTTCTCCAGCCTAACTCAGGTGCTGTCTCATTCCAGAAACATGTGCTGGGAAAGCTCAGTCTGTCAAGAGAAGGCATCTTTCCTCCATTTACTGGGAGGGGAGAGTGAGAAGGAGGTAGAGCTTCTTGTATTTTCAATTTCAATTGAGTATTAACAGGATGTATTTCTTAGGTATGTGTTTTCCAGCATTGGCTCTCCTTCTTTTCCCACTTAAATAGCCCTTCCTGACAGTGTTCTCCCCTAGGACACAGTAAGTGCTGTTCATCCTGTCTGTGAACACTGCAAAGCATCACTTTTGTTCTTTAGGGGAATTGAAGGGAAGTAATTAAAATGACAGGAAGTGCTTGGGACTGAAAGATTTATGTCTGTGGAAAGATCTTACGAAATTCAAAGCATATTTGAATCAGAAAGAATCGATTTGGCAGCTGCATAGTTAAAGACGTGCTGTTTCTTTCTGAAATATTAAATTAATGTCCTCCAAGGCAAATCAGGCAGAAAGGGAACTGCTTTATGCATTTCTGGTGTAGTGAACAGCAATAATATGTACAGTCTGTAAACACAGTAAATTCTCAGTCACCAATGAACACTAATAAGTAGTAGTGATTAAAGTTGCCTTTTGAATTCCCCTTCCCACAGTCACATCAAAAGACATGTGCCTCCTTCAAGAAGTAGATGCAGGAGGTAGACAGTCAGCTTCTTCATCTGTTTGATGTGTCTTCACTCAGTTGGATAAATGGCTGTTATTCGGAGAGGGAAGTGTATTGAAAGTAGTTTAGAAATCATGGTTAATGCTGAAATTTTGTATAGGAGGCTTGATACCAAATCATACTACTGGGAGAGCATGAGCTTTGAGCATACAAGAAAATCAAAAAGTTGTGCTTTGGCCTTTACTTCCCCCAGAAATGGTTTATTGGATGTTCTCCATGTTTTCTAGTGTTCTGAAGCTCTGTCTTCTGTCAGCAGATGATGGGGTTTTCAACTTGGGGGGTACCTTTGGGTGTATCTGTGCCATAGACTTCCTCCTGTTGAAAACTTCTCTCCTTGACTGTGCTGAAATGCAGAGTGTGCTGTTTGATGGAGAGTGGAGAACACCTAGCTGAGGTCATGATGAGCTCTGTGAGAAGGCCACGTGTGCTTGCATGTCTAAAGTAACAACATAGATCTACAAAAGTAACAACGTGTATCATATAACATATGTATATAGAGCTGGCCCAGAATCACTTCCTCCCAACACCTCAGTGTAGTTGCATTTTGTTTGGTAGCCAGGTTTCACTCTCAGGAGGTCTAGGACTGGTGCTGTTTGTTTGGAGATTCTCTGTAATGCAGAATGGCCTGCTCCATCAAAGGTTTGTTGATATGCTAAAAGAAATTAATTTAAATTTGTTTTGTATCATTCTGGTTAGAGTTCAAAATACTTTCTCACTCCATACATCAGAAATCCATATGTTAATATGAACTTTGAATATTTAGTTTATTTGTGTTCTGATGTGTTTCCTTGTGAGATAGTTAGTTAATATGCTGCCTAAATTAAGTGTTTAACAACTTGGTGTGAAGATGTGGACATTTCACAAACTATGCTCTTTAAAAGGAGGCTCTTCAATCTTCTCAAGTAATGAGTATAGTATAAAAATGGGAGATCCAAGGTCTGTCTGTTCAGGCTGGGTTTCTGACACTTTGTATCTAGACTCTGAACTATTACTATTCTAAGGCTTTGGATGCAAACATAGAGCAGCCCAGCTTTCGAGGAGTATGTTTGGAAAGTTGGCAAACTTCCTGTTAGTCATGCCAAAGAAGTAAATTGTATATTTTGTCTGCTACAGTGTGAGTGGGCCATAGTTCTGTTGTGAACAGATTTAGCTGGCAAACTTGAACTGCAGACACCTTAAGCATTATACCATGGGAATGGCAGGTGCCCTTGCTTGGTAACATGCTCTGAAGAAATTGTACCAACAGCAAAAACCTGGTGCTGTTTTGTTGGGCTTGGCTTTTTTCCTTCTCTCTCTTTCTGTCTTACTTGTCCACTGAAAGATAACTTTTTTTATTTTATTGCCTCTTCAGCACCAACCCTGGACATAAAATCTCAGCTTCTAACAGCCATATTGCCAATGACTTTATGTGCAGGTATTTAGGCAGAAGTGGATGATGAATTGCATTCATCATGCAAGGTGGAAGTGTTCACATTACAGACAATCTCATTGGAGATTGGGAACATGGCCTGTTATATCCTGGATTGACATGCCTTTTGGGATAAGTAGTTTGAAGGGAAATGTGAGCCCACTGTAGAATATTGAGGAAAAGGGTTTCAGGCTTGAGTGATTCATGACTTAAAAACAAAGAAAAAGTGCAAGTTCCCATATTGTTTTTATGGTAGTTGCTTATGACAGCTGAACCCACACTTTTTTCATAAAGGTCATGCAAAATGTGCTATTTTTTATTTATATTACCATAGGAGGGCAGAAACTCAACAGGTGCTGCTGACCCAGTGAATCTTTGCCTTAGCCTGCTGAATAACTGATTCTGTAATGTTTAGCACCATAAATGAGTGATAAATCGGATTAATTTTGACCTGAGTCCAAGTACATATTTGGATGTTCAGAGTGTACAGCACCACAGCATGGGAAGAAAATAGTCCTTGTGCTGAGGAATTTCTGCTCTGTGGGGTTGTGTTCACTGCTCAGGTGTTGGTATCCAGCAGACCACTGCAAGTGCTCTAAGGCAAGCTACACTTGCTGTTCTTATGAAAGCTAGGCTTAGCATCTTGTTTACATTTGTGAAATTGCTTGCAGACTGTCTCTTTTGAAATAAAAGAAAACATTAACATAGATTCCAAATTGTACAAGGTCAGAAACTACAGTTAGTGTGAACAGTACCTTGGTGAGACAAGTGCCATGTACTCATTTTCACCAAGAATTTAGAGAATATAACCAAGAATTTAGAGAATACCTTGGAAATATCTATAATGGCAAAACTCTAATTTACTTCTAATTCCTAGTGTAGGAATCTGCAGTAGCATTGAGGAAGTACATTCTACTTCAGTGCTTTTCTTTAATCAGTTTTCTTATTCTGTAAATAACATCACTAGCATTTGAACCAAAAGCATTTCTCAGCTGCAGCTAAGGAAAAAGAAAGAGATGGAGGAGCCAGGGTCTACTGCTAAGAAATACTCCAGATATTCAGAAATCCCAGTGTAAACTTCTGGAATTGGGTGCTTTAAGCACTCACTGCTCCCACCCTCTAATAGATGGTAAACAAATCCCGGGTTCAGGGCAGCTGCTTTGCTGACTGGGCTTCTGGGCAGCCTAGTTCCATTTCTGACTACATTCCAGGAAGTGAGGACAATAGAATAAAAAAAACAGTGATTATTAGTTTTTTTAAGGTCTCTTTATCTCCCTGTTGATAAGTAAAAAAATACATGGCTGCTTCAGCAATAAAAACCCACTTGAAAAATGAATGTTATTTCCACAGTCACATTTGAACAGGCTGCTTTAACAGGCATACCTTGAATTGGATGTCATTGTACATTACTTGTGCTTTACTGGAGACTTGGCAGGCATTGAAAAGTTGGATGAGTGTGATCAGGGATCTAAATTTCAAAGTAGCAAATTACTGCATTGTCAATTCTAGTGCAGGTGATCAATTGGGTTCTGAAATAATTGCCTGAAGTATACTGCATTTACTCTGGCCTGCATTAAATCTGTTAACCTGCAGTTAATAGTTCTGTTGGCATAGAGCTGGTATTGGTTAAAAGTCCACTGAAAGCAAAAAATCACTTTTCTAAACAACCAAGAGAAGAAAAACATTCAGTGATGAATTTGTTTTATCAGAATTGTTTTTGCCAGCTTTGGTTGGTTAAAATTTGCAAGAATTCTTTTGTTGCTGTGGGCTTTGCTCAGCTAAAAGGCATTCCCTGCTTATGTAGCTGTATGAAAGTGTGACTTTATTCTTTAACATCCTGGTCTTTCTAAATTGATGAATAAACTGGGTTCAAATTTGGGTAGCTGCTGTGGATCACAACTTCATTTGAAATTTTAGGTTGTCCAGGAGATGGAAAAATGGGATGAGAGCCTTGCCTAGTGCACACATGGAACACAAGGCTGTGCTAGGCGTGGATCATGCTGTGCCTGGAGGTGTTTGGAAATACTGGGAGAGAAGCTGGTGTTTGTTCCAGAGCACTGGGGGATCCAGAATTGTTAAATGGCTTGTGTGCAAACTGATTTGCCCTCATGATTATTAAACCACTATGATATATTAGTATTTGTTTAGAGTAAAAACTGACAAAAGATCCTAAGAAGCCTAGGGGAAAAAAAGAAAACAAAATCTAATAAACAAAGCCTGAAAATATCCAAACAAGAAAACCTACTTCCTCAAAACAGCCAAAGCCTTGAAACAGAGTTTATCATCTTTTAAAACCAAAACAAAACACTATTTCTACCTTATTTTTTTTTTGCAATCAGGCTTTAAGGGAGATTGCCCAGAGAGACCTGAGTTGTGATGCTGTAGACTGTATTCCACACAGGGACAGTAAACCATGGAAAAGCACAGTTAATGCAAAATAAATACTTGTGAGAGGTCAGTGTGATAGTTTAATTTATGTTAACACCCAGACTTGTGCTACCAAGTGTTTTTATAATTAACTAGGCAGTTTCCAGGTGTTTATGTGTAAAAACTCATTGATTAATTTATTATGAGCTCTTATGTGTGAGTAATTTCGAAGCCTGAACTGAAATTTATTTTCTTGAGCACAAAGACATTTTGGCAATGCAAATTGTGACTCTTGAAGAGAAAAGGAAACTTACGACTTCCTGAGTTGTTTTCTTTCCAGTGTGTTGACAGAGAAGGTACTTGAAAAATACAAATTGTTGAACTGGAGATAAGAAAGTAATTTGTTTGTATTTTGTGTTACAGACTTGGTTGCTGGAAGCCTTCCATGTGATCAAATAGTACTTTCAGACAAACTTATTTTCTATTAAATGAAGTTTAATTTTGAGGTAAGGTCCTGTTTAATTTTGTTTGTTATGCATATAATGATACATAACCTACAGTAATTGAAAAGCTTGTGTATATTAGTATAAAACTTTCTTTGTAGAGTATGTGAAATATATAGTTCTGTGGCTGTGATTATGAAGAGAAAAATTGAGCTGAAAAATAAATGTGATGTGTTAATATTGAAGTGCCAAGTTAATATTGTCATTAACAGCCTGGAGATTAACCTATAACAGACACTGACTGTTTTGAAACAGTTGCCAGGGAGACTGGAGAATATGATCATGTAATAAGTGATGTCTCTAAGCCTTAGGAAAAAGGGCCATGCCTTTCATTGGTATGAAACAAATAGCTGACAAGATGACCTAACTCTTTCATCTGAATACGTGTAAGAGGTGGCAAAAAGAACAAGGAAAAATCATTTTTAATAATAACTTCAGAGATACATTACCATTTCTGTACTGTAATGCTCTCAGAAGAGAATGCATAAAGCAAATTTTACCATTTAGTGACAAAATGTTGATAAATCTAACCCCATGTTCTTAATCTCTTAGAGTTACTTTGACCTTGTCCACATTACTGTTCTAAATATGTCTCTGGCTTTGACTGCTCATCTGGAAATGGTGCTTGAAATACTGAGAGGTCGCTAATGGAATTTTGTCCTGCTATTCTCCATGTTTGAAAAATGTCTTCAGTGAACTTTCAAAGCAGCCTATAATTAAAGCAACATGTCAGTTTGTACCAAATATGTCTAAGGACAAGGTTAAATGAAGGTGTTTTAGGTACATCATGAAATAGCCTTTGCTAGGAACAATAAGAAAATACATATGAATTTGTTGAGCTGCTTGAGTTGATATGGGTTGTTCCTCTTAATTTCTTTTGTGTACTTAGATTTTTTAAAAACTGGTTTATCTGATTACTGTATGAGAATAATACAGTAATGAAACAAGTTTCAAAAAACACTTGACAGGTATTCTTACTCACCTTAAGCAGTGTCCAGTTTCTTGGCTTCTAACATGCTGGATTTTGTTTCAAGAATCCAGCTCAGCTGCCTCTGGAGTAGTTCCAATGAATATAACCATGTAAAGCAAAGGTTGGAGAAATGTCAGTAAGTGAATTGGTCTGGTGGACTTGATTCATCATCTGATCCTGGGCAATATGCCTCTTCATGGAGCTTCCAACAAGCAATACTGAAGGGTTCAGAGAGGAATTGCATTTAATAGTTGAATGGTTCATGATGGCTTTTCAAGATGGTTTCAAGTGTCTCTTTGGCCACTCGTTTCCAGTGAGTTGTCATGTACCCGTTTTGCTAAAGAACTCCATGCTGTGATTCCTGTCTGAGGCCTTTTGAGTAACATTTTATGCATAAAAATAGTTGAGTTGGATTCAATCTGTAGGATCACTTTGCAAGGAAAAATTTATGTTCAATTTCAACATTGGTAACACTCGGCATAGGTGACACCAAAAATATATCTTCAAGTCTGAAAAAAATCTGTGGGAAGCACTCAGATTTTTTAAATTTTTTTCCATTTTGACTCCAGGCCCATAACCACGTGTTCTGGGCCTGTGGTTCTGTGGTTCATGTTAGAATTCCAACAGGGAATCACTTTGCTTGCAACAAATTCTGTCAAAAGTACTGCTGCCAGTTTGATTGTTAGATTGATGTTGACTCTTCCCGATTTAACCTCTGGGGGTTTTTTGCCTTAGCCTAATTTGGGCTTAGTGTCAGCTGGGTAATTTTACTCAGGTTTCTTTGTTCTGTGCTTCATTCTGTTTCAAAGAGAGATGTCCATGATGGCAGCAGAGTTTCTGTTTACACAACTGGAAATGACTGGCCAAAATGTCTGTTGTTGAAAAAACTACAGTAATACTTGATATTAATCACAGTAAGAGGTGGAATGAGTGAGAGCAGAGAACCATTCCATACAAACCTCATCACTGGGAAAAAAAATTACTCTATTTGAGATCCACTAATTTTCTTCTGTGTAACAAAGCTGTTTCTGAAGACTTATGAAACCCATCTAATTCTGGATGGTGATGCTGATCATAATTAGACATGTGGCTAAGTGGGTTTCTTGTTATTAAATAGTTCAGCTTCTATAACAAATAAGGAAGGTTGGTTATAAAGCCTGTAAGAAATTTGAGCAGCCTCTTAGTTGGCTTCATGTTCCCCAAGGTAGATAATCAAGTAGATGTGTATGAGGTAACTGTTGACTGCTGTTTTTCTTAAAGAAACTGATAAAAAAAGTTCCTGGGCAGCATCAGATGATGTTCAGGAGGGTAGAAGGAAAGTGAAAGAAGAATCCATATATGATTTGCCATGATAGTTTATCTGGGACTTTGCAATACTCTTTCTCTGCCAAAACATGTCACTTAAATAAAAAAGATGTAAAATAGAAAATGCAGAGTAATAGATGACAGCAGGTGAACCCATGAGGTCATATCCTAGCTGTGTCAATAAATGACTCAAGTAAGAACTCCAAGTAGTTTATTACATCTGATTTTGTGGTGCCTCCCAAGAATGGCAGGTGGAGCTTGAAAGTTTGAGTGATGGTTTCAATTAATTCAGTGGGGGGAAAGCATTGAATTGAGCATGCTCAGAGGTTCTAGACCTAGGCATAAAAGCTTTAAAATTGTCCTTGAAAACATTACAGTATTTGAGCAGTTGAAAATAGTGTCAATATACAGAACTGTTCTAGGCTGGATTTAACAGCCCATTTTATAGTTCAACCTATTACTATCTTTAGTGTGATTTAGAATCTGAGTGAAATGTTTCAAATTGTCACATCTTATGATTTAGAAAATCGGTTTTCTATCAGCCAAACCTTTCCACAGAAAAGGAACTATTTTTAATCATCATTTACTTTGCTTATCCTATAATTTATCTAGGTACTGGAGATCAGAAAATATATTTGAAGCTGTATAAACATAAAAGAATATATCCCACTGTAAGCAAGTTGCAGTGCTTGAGATGGATCTAGATGAACCTTACAGGAGTTGGGTTTAAAAAAAAACAAAGCACCCCTCCAAAACCCAGCAACAAACCCTTTAAAAAGAGGAGGAAAAAAAAACCCTCAAGCAAACCCACACGAAATATAAATGTCTTCTATACATCAGATACCATTTTAATACTAGTCTGTGCATATATTTACTACTGTCCTCCCAAGAACTCTGGGAGAGGAACGTAGACAATGGATGTGATTCTCTTCTGATTTGTACAGAAACTCATGTTTCTGGTTTTGGTTTTCTCTTGCAGTGTTCTTGCAAAATAGGAAAAAAGGTCTGGAAAGCCTTTTCAAAGACATGTCACTGACTGCCATAGTGAAGGCTCTTGCTTCTGGGGCTTGTGATTTCTCTGTTACATCTAGCTCCAGTCAAGCTCTTGGCTTATCTTATCTAAAAGCTCCGTTTGGGACAGTGGCATTCCTCCTGTAGTTCCTTGTAGTTCATCCTTCCTTTTGAAGATACATACAAGCAAGTTAGTTTGCAAATATGCCTTTTGCCTTGAAAAGCAAGCTGAAGTTCAATTGCTAATAAGCTGACTGTCCTATAAACAACTCTTAATTAGTCCCAAATATTTTGGTTTATTACATAATTTGCTTGAGGGAATTTCCTTGCTGTGTTCTTAGCAAAAGAGATGCTGCTGCTGTATAACTATAAAATGTGGACTGAGAATGGTATCTATTAATGCTTACTAATAATTACAGCCTGCTCTTACAGCCTTTCAAAGCTTGTCCTGGTTCATCTTTGTTTTGCTGTGGGCATTTTTTTTTCCAATTAGTTTTCTAGAATTTTGTACTGCTACTACAGATAAATGCAGTGAATTTTTCCTGAGATTCTTCGGAGTTTTTCTAGTAAACTTGCTTATCAGCATGTGGGGTGTGTGTATATAGCCATAGTTATTGAGCAAGGATTTTCTTAGGGCAGGGGGGCATGTGAGAGTTCTTGCATTTTAATTGTCTGTGCATACTTGCAAACAAAATAAACAATGTTCAGTGCTGTACAGTGTTAAATTCCTTGTATTCTAACCAATGAAAGGAAGGGTTATGCTTTTTTGATTACTTGTTCAAGCTTCAAGAGCTCTGATGAGCCACCCCAAACAGACAGTGTGTGATGTCTGAGGTTGTCAGGCTACTTGTGGACCCTCCAAGTCGCTATCTTTGTTCTTACTGCCCATTTAGGACATCAGCTTTTACTCCATTGGTTTACTGCTCTTTCCTTCCACTTGAGGCTAATTAGAGGGAAATAGAGATGCTGTTTTATTTCCTTTCTGGCCAGAAGAGATTCTAACATTACTGACAAGACAACTTCCAGGCCAGTGTTTTTCCAAGTGTGATATTTGTGCATGAGTGATCGTTATTCCTGAAAGCACCTCACTCACTGCACAGTTCCCAGGGGAGTGGCAGCAGCCAGTGATGACACCTTCACAGTGTCTTGGGCAGCAGGGAGTTGATGGTGGCCTTGCTGTGACATGTGGACATACACTTCAGGCGTGCAACCCACAGATGATAGTTTGGTTCCTATCCCATGCTCTGGTGGAGAATCAGCTTAGTCTTCTAAGAAATTCTATTAATGGCAGCCTTGAAGCCCTGTTAAAAGCATTGTGGTATAAATGAGTTACAAATTGTCAGTGATGGAGTGCTGAAGAGAGGGCTCCTTCAGAGTTGCAGTGTTACCTCTTTTGTGATAAAATGCTGACATAGGTGCCACTGTGAGTTTAGAGTAGAATGGGTGATGTTACTCTGTGCCTGTGCAATCAGCTGCCTGTCTGCCTGCCTTGTGGGTCCATTGTGCTCGATTTTTGATGGATGATGCTTTCGTTTGCATTCATAATTTTGTTTATCAGTTTGACTTGGTTTGTATTTCTGAGTGCATTTTGTTCACGGAGGTCTTAGCAGGCACCAGTCCACTAAACAATTATTTCATATGTACCTTGGGATTAGATGTTCAACCTCTGTGAACAGCAGAAAATGCCATGGTGCCCAGTGCCAGCAGGCAGTTGGTGGGAGTACTGAAAAGAATAGAGGACTTCTGTTCATTGGATTTGTTACAAAGTTAGTCTAGTATAACAAAAATATGTAGCTTTGCTTCTACTAGCATGTACACATGCAGGTTTTTAGGCTGTGACAGTCTCATGACCTAGATTTCTGTTTGCTCAAGCTTGAATGAACTAGTTAAGAAATATCTCCAGGGAGACAGACCTTTACTAAATCATGGCAGAGCTTTGCTTTTAACCATTGCATTGGCAGTGACAACTTTGCTTTAACTGGCTGGGTGTGGTCAGTGCTTGGCAGTGGTCATTGTGGCTGTTTCTCATTTGCTTTTTGAAATGCAGGTGGCTTTGGGCTATGTGTTACTCAACACTCAGTTGGTGAGGATGTGAAATACACATACCCTCATAGCATTGAGCTGACATTTTGCTTTCTCTGTTTGCTTAGCACTGCAGTTCAGAATATACAGATAAAATCATGGCCTCATCAGCTCAGACACCACAGATATGGGGGTAGGAATGGTATGAATTAAGCTGGTTGAGCAGGTAAATGATCAAGGAAATCAGTGTGCACTAACTGGTCTCCTCTCTAAATCTCCTTTCTCCCATGCATCGTTATTCTGCTGTTTTATTTTATTTTATTTTATGTTTTTGGCTTGATGATAGTTGATTCCTGTTGAAATTAGGTGATGCAGACTTCTGTCCTTGTCAGTATTGGGAGAAACAGCCATTTACCTGGTGTTACATGTCTCTTGAGAGGCCTTGTAAAATGCTTGTTGAGATAACTTTGCTGCCCCTTGCCTTGGTCTGTTTTTGTGTGTCCAGCAGCTGATGAGGTCAGTGCCACCTTCCCAGTCTAGCAGAGCTGGACTCTTAAGTACAATTTAGTTTTTTGGGAAATCTTTTCTGGAATTTTTGTAATTTCTGTAATTGTGGTTTTATCATGTTAATTATTTCAGGAAGGTGTTGTGGAATGGAGACCTGTTTTGTACATTACCTGAGGCTTACATTCAGAGTATTGATTGTGAAATTTTCAGTAGTGCAGAGTTACATCCTACACTGAATTAGTACTCACTGAATGAGCCTGACAAAAAAATCATGGAAACTCTCTAACTAGGGCAAGTTTGAACTTGATCGTGTGTGTCATCCATCTCAATGCTTTTAACATTTTAAAGTAGATATATTCACAACAGCAGGCAACTCATTTTTGCATACTTTTATATGTGCATACTGGTAGAAGGATTTTAAGGAGCTGGTTGAGAAAGCCACTTGTTGGTGAAGCAGAAGTGGGACAAGGAAGTTCCAGAGTAAATCCATGCAAAAGCTGTTCATTTACTATGGTAGCACAGACAGTGTGTAGAAATTGTTGTTTACTTGGAAAAAGCTTTTCTAGAAATTACTGTTGGGACTGATGAAAGAAGAGGTGCAGTAGGATATGAATAAATTCATTTGTTACTCAGCCTTGGCAGTCCTACTAGGTGTTGTTAGTTCTGTTTTGCTCCTCTTGAATGATACCAGGAGGAATAACAATTTTAAATTAATTTCCAGTGGAAATTAAGGGTGGGGGTGTTTTGGCATCAACTTTCTTCCTGTTAATTTTGGGACATTTCTCAAACCATGTTGGAGCTTTTGTTCAAATTATTAGTTTGTGACTTGCAATAGGCAGTTTGCAGTTTTATTTAATTTCAGGGAAAATATAAAAATATATTTTAATGTGTATAAGTGTTTCATCAAATAACATTTTTTTTGTATTTAATGTTCAAGTTGTTTCACTGAAAATACCTACTTTACAATATATGAAGAGTGTTTAGTTTTGTAAATATCGGTCTTTAGATTTTCAGAAAGTTTTTTTTAATGAAGAGAAATTATTAAAGAAAAATATTTTAACTGCTCATGGAGTATATATCTGCTTCTAAGCTCACACCTTTTGTAATTGAGTAGTAACAGCATCCTAGCTCTAGTGAGCATGTATCCAGGCAGAGAGCTTTGGGGAAGGAGACAAGCTGAGACGTGCAGGAGGGCTGTGCCAATGCAATGGAACTCTGTCCTCTAGCCTTGTCCTGCCCAGGTACAGGGACCAGAGCCCCCGGTGACCGAGCTGGGACAGTGTTTACCCCCTGCCATCACTGCTCTGGCTAATCCTGTGTAATCACTCCTTAACCCAGAGGCACACATTCCTCCAGCTTCAAGCTACTTTAAAAAACTTTATTACTGCCTCATTCTTGTTTTACTTTTCAGTCCTTGATAACATCTTGGGCTAATATCTTATTACTTACTTTATATCTTATTAACTTGGATAATATGTGTTGGAAATATTTGTGCTTGTTTGCTTTGTTGGTGAGGTATCTCTGTGAGCACACCGAGGCCTGCTCATCTTCATTCATCCACTGGTTAGAATTTTGTTTTGCTCAGATTTTCCAGAGCATGAGCCCTGTGATGGTTGAGCTCAAGGCCTTGACATACACACTGATATGGATCTGCAGGACTGGCTTCTCTGAGTTATGCTCTGTGCCTTTTTTAAGAGCTCCAAGCTGCTGCTATCCCTCCCAAAGCTGTCAGATTCATAATTTATTATTCTAGTCTCCCACCTTACAGGCACAGATCTGTCACAGTCTGATTTAGAAATTTCCTACTTTATTACTCACAGAGAATTAGACAGTACCAGGCAAACTGTTTCATGTAAAATTTTCTTAATTTCCAGGATCCTTTTAATTTTTGGTCAGCCATTCCACAAACTGAGTGATTTTGGGTGAAGCACAGAGTCCATTACTTGCACAGAGAAATATTTAAATGTGGTGTGAATCAATGTATAGAAGATAAAGGAAATGTGGAAGATATTTTCCCCTAGTTTTTCTCTGTGATCTCAGCCCTTTGTCTTGACCAAGTTCTTAGATCTTTTGAGAAAAAACAGCTGTCCTGTTCTGGCTGTTACTCAGGAGATGGAAATTGCCTGTCCCATTTATTATTGAAAGCCAAGTGGGGAGATTTAGAGCCTCGGGATACACTGGAGAAGGCAAATGAAAACATTTCTCTTGAGTTTGAGAATACAGTACTGGGGGAAGCTGATAAGTCATGAGCTCTTTTCATAAGCTCTTTTTCAGATGATGCATCCTTTGGTGTCTCTGAAACTGAGCACTGAAGTGAAGGAAACCAGACCACTAATGTATGTAGGTCCTTCCTTCTTTGAGTTGAATTTGACTCTGGGGAAAAAAAAAAAAAAGAGTGCCAGTGGGAGGACACAGTAACAGGTTCTCAACTTGTAAAAGTGCATTAAAGATATCAGGGATAAGTTTGCATGTCTGTTTATGTAGGGAAGGCAGAAAACATTATTTTGCAGAATGGAGAACCTAAGTTGAAAACTTGTGTGAGGGAGAACCATCCAAAATGCAGAAATAGTAAAAAGAAAAATAAAAATGGAGCAGCTTAGCTGTGGATGTTGTGGACTCCATTTTCATGGAACTTTGTCAGAATGGATTAAATGAGAATCTGGCAGGGACAGCATAGGGATGCATCATTTTGCAATGCAAGGCACTATGCTAGGCTACCTTTTGATGTTCTTTCTGACACTCACGTTTATGGTTTATGTGGTGCACAGTCACAAAGAGAAGATATTAAAAAGCTAAAACCTAAACAATGTACTTCTAAAAGAATGCTCTCTAAGATACAGGACCCCAGTTTGTTTTTATATTATCCAGTAGAGCATTGTGTCACACTAACAAGAGAAGACCTTGCTGCTGGAAAGCTGTGGCCTCGTTGGCTTTACTGGAACCTGGTGAGATGAATGCCATGGCTGGGGTGTAGCTCTCGATGTTGTTCAGAGGGGACAGGGCAGAAGGGAGAGGGGAGCTGTGACCCTCTGCATAGGAGAGGGAGAGGGTGCCAAGAGCTGTACCTGAAGAATAACTGTGAGCAGGTTGAAAGCCTGTGGGTAAGAATCAGAGTGTGAGGAAACAAAGGAAAACCTCGTGGCAGGTGTCTGCTGCAGGCCACCTGATCCAGGGAAGTCTGTTGACACAGGGCTCCAGCAGCAGGAGACATTACAGACCCGAGGGGTCTGGGGGACTCCATCCACTCCTGCAGCTGCTGGAGAAGCAGCAATGTGAGCCAGAGGCAGCCCAGGAGACTCAGGGAGTTCACAGAGGGTAACTTTTACAGCAGGTAACAGACATCCCTTCCAGAATGGATGCAGTCCTGGTGAGCAGCAGGGGCTCTTTGGGGCTGCTGGGTTTGGAGGCAGCCTGTACTGCAGTCACCAGGCACTCTGGAATTGGCAGTTCTGAGGGATGTGGTTCAGGTGAAGAGTAAAGTCAGGCCTCTGAATGGAGGAAAACAAACTTCCAGCTCTTCAGGTTAGTCACTAGTATCCCCTGGGAAGCTGCTATTTAAAAACGCACACATAAATTCATTTGGAAATTATTTGGGGATTCTAGTGCATTCTGTGTTTATGGAGAAAGGGTTTAAGTTCTGAAGAGTTCTTGGAGATCATTGTGGAAAGTCTAGTGATGGAAGAGTGGTTTGGACTGTTAAAACAGCAAGGGAAGACATTGGAGACAAAACCCAGACTATCTACAAAATGAAACAATACAAAAAGCATCTGTAGCTTCCTGTTTCTGTAAAAAAAGTGCTGTCAGTTTCTGAAATGTAACTGAAACGAAAAATAGCTCATACTTGAAGCTCTCTGTAGCTGTGCAATGGACTAAAAATGTCTAGCAGGTCTATGTGGAGACTTGAGAAAAACCATAACACTATATTGCACACTTCAGAATCTTCAGGAAAGAGTAGTTATGTGCTGAAAAAATCCTACTTGTGATGAAGTAGTTATTTTAAGCTGCTGGTTACCAGTGAATAAAAATGTGTGATGAGAGAAAATTCATTTTCTCTCAACAGTAAATGTGTTGCCAGTATACCCAATAAGTGTGTTGGTTTTCTATGCATCATTCCAACCTCAAAGAAAATATGAACATTTAGTATGTGCACACGGAGCTTTTAAAAAATTAATTTCTGTTATACCAAGAAAAATACGTGTTTTGGGTTATTTCTAGCCTGATGATACTAATGAGACTTTATATAGAAGTGCATTTGAGTAAATGTGATTCTACTGAGCTAGTTTCTTTGTTTAATGAAAAGCTGAGTATGTTAAAGCATTAAATGGAAAACTGTAAGCAGCAATGCCATTACTACTTTTTCAGGTACTTTAGTGGGAAGTTGCAAGTGACTTGGCACCATGGTAGCTCTTTCCTTGAAGATCTGTGTCCGTCAGTGCAATGTGGTGAAGACGATGCAGTTTGAGCCATCCACTGCTGTGTACGATGCCTGCAGAGTTATTCGTGAGCGAGTGCCAGAGGCTCAGACAGGGCAAGGTGGGTTCCTCCATTTGTCCTTACTCACTTCATTGGCTGAATGGAAAATGGAATATAAACTCATGGGGGTTTTTGATATTGTCCTGTTTCTTCATTTATTTTTTGTGTTAGAGGATTTAGTTGCTTTTTTTGTTAGCTTTTTTTTAAATTTAGGTTGTAGGGCTCTGGAGTGAAAGGAAACAAGTGCAAACAGATTTTTAAGTGACAGAAAGTAGCTGAGTTGTTTTTCGTCCTTTTGTCTTCCCAGAAGGTTTTCTCACAATGAACGTTTTTAGTGAAATTTTGACTTCTTAAATAAATATCTTGTTTACCTAATAGTTGAGAAATTGTTCTCCTGCTTGGAGAGCATTCGTTTTGGTATTGTCTACTTAAAGCAGTGTTTCTGGCCATGTTTTTTAAGAAGATCTTCATAGACTTATTTTGTGGCTGACCAAACGAAGCAACAACATGAATTACAAAAGAATAGCTGGATACCTCCAAAATGTGCAAAGAGAAATGTTTGAAACTGGTTAATAACTGAAATCATCACCATGCTGTGCATAGCATAGTTACCATGGTGCTGCATGTTAATCAAAACTGTCTCTCTACCTATTGAGAGAATTAGTTGAATATAGACTGGGAAACACCATGGACAAAAGATCTGGTTTTAACACAGGCAAAGTTGTCAAAAAATTCAGATACATCAAAGCCCTTTGGTGCTGCATTGTATATAATGTTACCAGCATGTGATTCTTAAAACAAGTTGTCTATTGAGGTTTAAGTTCTCAACCTTTACAAGTCATTTCAAAAATCGTGTCTGAATTGTTAGAAAAAACTTACTAGTAATGAACTTCATTACTATTACTGAGAATTGCTTCTCCTTTGTAGGAGTCCTTTGGAAACCTAGTTACAGAGCTTCAGCTTTCAAATAAAACTTGTGCATTTTTACCATGCTGGTCTCTCAAGGTAGTGATTGTAGGCAGCTGTTGAATTCAGACAAGTTGAGTGATAAATATCCCTGAATATCCTGAACCTCAAAGAAAAGCCAAGGACTTCTCAGATTTTATAGTAGGGCTTTTCCTTTAGTTAAGACTGCAGTGCAATTACAAACTTCAAAAAATGAAGTTGAATGATGAACAGAAATGTTTCCAACATGTCCTTTCCCTGTTTTGTGGATGTTAAAATGTGTGTGTGTCCCTGTTCGTTGAGAAGACTCACAATGGTGTAATACAGTTGATAAACTGATTCTGCACAACTGAAAATGTACTTATGCTATCAGCTGTGCACACTTCACTTCTCCCACAAGCCTGGTCCCAGCACAAAGGTGACAGTGATTTTCATGTGCAACTTGCACAACTCCTGCTCTTTCATTACCACAAATGAATATCAGAGCAGTCTGTGCTTCCTTGGTACTTCTGTGCTCTGTGCAAGGCATTTTGCCTGCAAAAGGTCACAACCTATTTATAGGCACAAGTTCTAAAATCTTACAGAAGTGATTCTGTATTCAATCTGTAGCATAAATATCCCTGTATGTACAGATCACTTGACCCTTCAGGGGAGTTTTTAATAAAGGTCAGCAGGGAAAGTTTTTCATCTTACTCAGTTGTTTTTGGAAAGATTCTTCCTTTTAAATTGGGTATCTTTAAGTCAGTTCCACTTCTATCAATTAAGTGTAAGGTCATTTATATAATTGCATAACCAATCTCGTGTTTAAGGTAAATGCTGTTAAATGTAAATTATTGCTATGCGTGGTATCTACAGATGAAATATTACCTGAAAATTGTTGATATTTTTACCTGGCTTTCTAGCCCAAGGCTCCTAACACATGGCTGAAAGCAAACAAGGTAGGGCTCAGAGGTGCTGTAACACACTGTGCTGCTGGCCATGAGAAGGGGCAGCTTAACCTGCAGAGCTGCAAACAGCAGGCTCAGCTGCTGAATGGGTGTTTGTGAAGTATAATCTGCATTGATTCTTCATGCATATGGATAGGCCTTCAATTAACAGTCATGATACTTCATTTTGTCTATCTAGAGTTTAGTCTTTGAAACCTAAGCCTGATGTGGCAGTGAAAATTTTATCGTTTACTTCTGAAAAAATCAATTCACATTGTTTAGCCTTCAAAAGATGCAAGTTTTTGCTGTGTTTGCTATGGATATAATTCTAGAAGCCTTGTGTATTTTTAAATACCTAAATTTGAATCATCTACCAGAAAAATTTCCAAGTTTGTAATAAACTCATTTGTGGAGGTTTGAAAGCAAACTGTGTTTTGAAAATAGAACTGCTGCTTGAAATAGTACACTGTGGTTAAGGCCAAACTTGCTTGTATTTTTGGTTAGTCAATTCCAAAGCAGGCCCTGTGAGCATTTGAAAAAGGTAGTCTCAAAGAAAAGTAGTTACAAATACAATACACAGTAGATGTGACATGTGAAGATGTGATGGTGTAGTGAAGCTTTTGTTCAAGTCTTCTGTCAAGCCTGATGTACCCTGCTATCTGCTGCTGAGCTAAATATTTCATGAAGCACAGGAAAAAAAATTCTATCCAAGTTTATTGAGAATGGAAGGTAAGTGTAATGGAGGCTTAACCTTGAATCTGGATAGCCCTGAATAAAACCATATTGACTTTATTAGGTTTGATATCTTTTAATGTGTCTTTGTCTGTTCTGTTCCACAGCCTCTGACTATGGATTGTTCTTGTCAGATGATGATCCTCGAAAAGGTATTTGGCTGGAGGCTGGAAGAACACTGGATTATTACATGCTGAGAAATGGGGTATGGTGCAAGTCTGTTTCCTTCATCATCACATTCTTAGAAAACTTGTTTCCTAAATAGCAAGAAGAATGTTTAGCACTTAGAGGGGTAGGAAGGTCTCGAGTCTGTTCCTGAACTTGACCTGGTCCTCTTCCTTGCTGTGCCTCAGATGTCAGTGTTTTCCTGCATTCAGGTTGTGACTGTGAGCTATTGTGGTCAGTAGTGTCTTCATACAATGATTAACAGAAAGTTGAAGAATAACTTTTGTTTTATGCTTTGTATTTGACATGACCTTGTGTTAGGGTTGGTTTCTTGTGTACTTGAGGTGCTGAGGTCATACTGGCTCATAGAGCCACAATGCTGCAGCCCTTTTGAAATGCTGCACTAGATTTCACAGCACAAAGGTACTTTGGTCTATCCTGCCCTGACTAGGTCTTGCCACTTAGGACAGTTCTTGAAAAATGACATTGGCAGATCTAAAAGTAGTCACTGCTCAAGGTTGTTAAATGAGTACATTTGCTTATACTGTAACAAAGGAAAAATCCAGCTTGGAGTGTGGGAAGGGAATCCTGTTTTAGGCATTTAAGGTAGTGGGTTGCCTTGTGATGGCTTCCAAAAGCATTTAGAAACAGTTGTGTTTAATTCCTAGGATATATTGGAGTACAAAAAGAAACAGAGACCTCAGAAAATACGTATGTTGGATGGTTCAGTGAAAACAGTCATGGTGGATGATTCTAAAACAGTGGGTGAATTACTGGTTACCATTTGCAGCAGAATAGGTAAGGTTTTGGGACCCACATGTTTAAGTATTTGTTTTTCTGTCATATTTACGTTTTGATTGTTAGGATGTTATGTGGCTAGAAATTGGCATACATGTGAAAAATTTAATTTTAAGTTACTACTTACCAAACACTTTCTTGGAACCTGTTGTTCAGGTTTTATCAAAGTCTGTAGAGACTCACCTTTATCCTTAAACTTCAGGATTTAGCAGTTGAAGGCACAAAGTTATCCAGCAGTACAGGTACTAATTTTGTTATTGTACATTACATTTACTTACTCTTTCCTGCTATGAGGCAGAGGTTTAGAACTGAATTTATACTCGGTGTTAATTGGATAAAAGAGGAACATTGCTGACCTTGTCATGTACCCAAGCTTAGGACTTTGTGTTGTTATGATTAAGAGTTGATCACAAAATTTTATCATTTGTAAAACAACATACAGAAGCCATTCAGAGCAGCTGGTCAAAAATGTGTCATATTGCTTAGAGTCTGTCTCAAAACTTAGCTAAATGGACTATTTTGAAAACAATTTCATATTTAATACATGCACTGCAAGGATGCAGCCAACATGGATTAATTTAAGTCTTAAAACAGTGCTTAAATCTCATTTAGAATTCAAGCAGCCTTAATTTGATTTATATTACCTTACTTGGAAAGTGAATCATCTATTTCAGTTTTGAGATTTTTTTCTGTTGGATTCTAATGTGCTGTAAGTGATTTACCTCAAAAACTAGCTTGACTTATTTTCATGAATGAAAGTCAGGTGAGTGTTTAATTTGCTGTCTGGTAGAACATAAACATTCTTACATACAAAAAAAACAAACAACCAAGATATGGGAACAACTTAGCACATATGCTAAATATTTTGAACTGATTTTTGATTCAATTTCATGTAAAATTCACAGGAAGAGTTGAGTCATAATACTTTAAATAAAAAAATCATAAATTTCACATGGTTTCTGTTCCTCAGTTGGCCCTGGCACATTTCTTTTATATCATGGGTATACTGAAATTACTCAATCCTCAGGAAGCAATTGTCGGTTAAATTTCCATGAATGGAAATTTATTATAGCCTATCTGCATTTTAGAATTTACAGTTATTTTACATTCCATCATGTTTTTAAACTGGCAGCTTCTCTTGGTAGACAGCAGCAAAAAAAACCCTTATATTTAATACCTTTCTGCAAGTGGTAAATGCAGCATATGACAGAGAAAGCATGTGTTGGAAAGGTGAGGTCAAATACTGGATTTATTTCTAATTCCAGGAATAACAAATTATGAGGAATATTCATTAATCCAGGAGAACATCGAAGAGAAGAAAGAGGAAAGTACAGGAACACTTAAGAAAGATAGGACACTCCTACGTGATGAAAGAAAAATGGAAAAACTGAAGGCAAAGCTTCATACAGATGATGATTGTGAGTAATGTATTCCAGGGTAATTCTCTGATTAATATCTTTCCACAGTATAATGCAGAGAAGCCATGCAGGAATGCATTTTTAGACTATTCAATGTGTTTCAGTTGGTTCCTGGCTGTATTTTGCATCCCTTTGTATGTAATTCTGTTTGCAACTGAGCATTTTTAAAATGAAATGAATGGGCAAGTTAATGCCTTTGGGAGTTAGCAGGTGTTTTGAAGTACTGTTTGGTAGGTATATTCCAACTTAAGTGTGAAGGATTGGTTTTGTCCCTTCATAAAAGTTGGATATTTAATAATTTATGCCTACTGAAGGCCATAAAAAGGTAGTTTTGTGTTTGAAGGGATAAGTTTTAACTGCAAGTGAAGTTTGCCAAAGAACTAAGACAGTATTTGATTTGTTTTTTGTGCTAAGTCTTTATAACTTTTTTTTCTGTTTTACTCTAAGACACTAAGGTCCACTGTAAGTGGCAGGAAGATGTTTTAAAATTGTGTTCAGGGATAAGAAATATAAACAGAATCATTTGTTTTAGAGGTAAAATGTTGCAAAGTTATTTTGTTGTTAGGCTTTGAAGATCTAAGTTTAGTGGTAAAACATTACTATAGTGGTTTATTCAATCCTAGCAGTGTTTGTGCTGTAGTATATCCTTGTTTCTCAGCAGTGCTGGTTTTCAGTTCTCATTCATTTGTAGCAAACCTTAAGCACTGATGATTAGAAACAGAAATGAGAATAACATTTCTTGTGGAGTTTCCCCCCAGTGGAACCCCCAATGATGCCCTGAGTTTCCCAAGGGCTGTTAACACTGGTGACAGTGGCTTTAACCACGTGTGTGTCTGTGGCTCTGTTGCAGTGAATTGGCTGGATCACAGCCGGACCTTCAGAGAGCAAGGAGTGGATGAAAATGAAACACTACTCTTGAGAAGAAAGTTCTTTTATTCAGACCAGAATGTAGATTCAAGAGATCCTGTTCAGCTTAATTTGCTTTATGTTCAGGTACAGTACTTTCTGCCTTGTCTGAGGAAACCTATGTAGGTTAGTTAGAAAAAAGTTGCTGCTCTATCTTCTGGAATTCCACTTCTGGATATGCTTTAGTTTTACTCTTTTGTCTAGCCCTCCAAAAACACATGATAGTACAGAGGCTTTGCTGATTTTTTTTTTTTTTTTTAATCAAATATATTGAACCCAGCCAAAAATCCACTGCCTTTCACATCCTACTTCCTTAAAATCGGTACATGTCTTTAGTCCCAAGCTGCTCTTTTTAATTCTCCCTCTTCTCTGGATGGTGCTCTCTGTGTAATGTGGAATCTCAGGTCAGTCTTGTGAGCAGGTTTCTATTTCTCATGTCTCTTTCTCTTCTGCCTGATTAGTGAGAGAGTTTCTTCTGCTCTCTTTTCCAATCTTAACCCAGACAGCACACAAGGCAGGCAGGCTTTCTGTCAAGAGGAACCATGTCATGTAACACAGTAGGAATCCATCAGTTTCCTAACTTGTCAGAGGGACTGTGCATACCTTAACAAAGCCAGGAGCTTTATGCAGAAGATCATATTTAACTGAAGGTGTCATTGCAGCTGCCTACAATTCAGTCGGAAAAAAAGTAGGCTTTTAAATTTGTTCAAGTTTTGGGGTTTTTTCCAAAGCAAAAAAAACCCTGAAAGTTTAATGGAATGTGCTGTTGTTATACTTGGTGTTGCTATAAATTACATTTTAAAAATCTGAGGCAAAAGGTAAGGCTGTTCTATTACTTGTAGACCAGCAGTACCTTTTGAAGTATTTTAGAAAACTGTCACACTGAGCTGTTCTCCTGCCACTAAAATATTTCATTCATGGTGTGACAATATGTGTTGGTAATGCTTTGTCGTTGCCTTGTCTATGGGTAGGTAGAGAAGGTAGAGCCTTGTATTGCCAGAGCTATCAAATCTGTCATCTTCAATGACCACCACATTTACACGGAAGAAAAATATTGTGTGCCTGTCCCTGTTGCCATATCTGTAACAGTGATTTTGTTTTTACCTACTAATTGTGGAGATCTTTTTCCCTGCTGTATGAAGCTGTGGGATGAAAGCTTTTCAATGTGTATTTGCATACACATGCATATGTGTGGACATACACTGAGGTGTGTGTGCATGTTGTATTTTATTTACACATGCATCAGGAAATGGCTGTCAAATTCTTTTTTTTGATCAAAGCTGATACAATCACAGCTTAAATAAATCTCCATAGATACTCATAATGAAATAGTCCAGCCCTTTGTTTTATTAGTCACATACACATCCAGAATGGAATAATAAAGACATTCAGAAGGAAGACAGTGTGTTGCTGGCTGTATTCAAGCTTTCAAAGAATTTGAGATGGAATAGTTGTTTTAGGTGTCTCTGACACATACATCTCTGTTTATCTCCTCCAGGCTCGTGATGACATTCTGAATGGTTCCCATCCCGTCTCCTTTGAGAAGGCTTGTGAATTTGGAGGCTTTCAAGCACAGATCCAGTTTGGACCTCATGTAGAACACAAACATAAACCTGGATTTTTAGAGTAAACACTTCTAACTTCTAAATTTGGGTGACCTCAAGTATAACTAATATTGAGTTGTCACAGATTAAGCACATTTTGTTACTCCAAGCAGAGGTAATCAGATTCAGTGTATTTTCAATAGCAAATCTCCCAGTGAAAGGAGCTTTATTGCACAAATCAACAACCTCAGCTGATGAGGAGACCTTTGGCAGTGGCTTTTTAGACAGCATTAATAAGAGCACTGGCTCCTCCCAGAGTGCCAGTTAAGCACACACTTAGTACCAGGAAAGTACAAGAGTGGAAGGAAGTTTTGTGATTTGAAAAAAGTGAATAATCCTATGCAGAAATTAAAATTTCCAAACTTTTTAGTGGCATTAATCACTTTGTCAGATTTACCTTCTCATGGTGCTGTATGAATGGATTTCTAGAACTATGCTCTTTGTCTCAGGCATGGACAGAAGTCCTGCTCATGAGTGGCTCATCCTTTAATCTTTATTATGATAGTTAATTTACTGCTGTCAGGAGGGCAAGTTAAGTTTAACTGAAATTTAGATGTCCCATTTTTCTACTGATTTTGATTTTCTGATTGGTTTACCTGCAGTAGAATTAACCAAGGGCCGAAGTCTGAGGAAAGCAATGTAGGAAGGTAAAAGAGAGCTATTTACTGCACAGTCCATCAAGCCTTGCCTACATATGAGGCTCATAAATACCTTAATTGGAGGCACAGAACAATGGGTGCGTATTTGATTCCTGTCCTGTTCCACTGGCACAGTGCTCAGTGCTTCCTTTGTGAGCCACTTTGCCTTTTACCATATCTTAGGGAATCACTTGGAAGTGGTGTCTTGCTGTGGAATGTGCAGTGCTGCAGCCTTGGTTGTTTGAAACACTTCACTTCTGAGGGCTGTTCCTGCAGTAGCAGTTCAGTTATGCCAATAAACATCTTTCAGTTCCAATTAATAATCAGCTTTTCTTTTTACTGTTTTACTGTCTGTCTGCTCCTGATTGGCCCATGAACCTTTCCTATTATAGCTACTGATGCCTAAGAATTACAGGGGCCCAGTGTAACAGCTTCAGTGTACTCCTGATTTTTATTTCCTACAACTGTGACCAGTTACACAGCAACTTTTATCTGGGATTTGTCCATTGTCTGCTTATCCTTCCCTTCTCATTCCACTCACTGAAGAGTATTCCTGCAGCAAATCATTGGGGTATTATCTCATGATAAGCTGATGCTGTGTCATGGTAATGATTTCAAGAGTTGGATGTTCCCAGAAATAGTTGCTTTTAATTTTTAAAGCAGTAATTTCCCACAAGGTTAACCAGTGACTTTTGCAAAGGCTGAACAGCATTCAGCTGCTCATTTTTTTTAGGATTTTCTAATGCACTATTTGTTTTTTTCAGTGGAAAGTTTTTCTCTTCTTTTTGAGCTCCCATAAAGTGTGTTTTATGGTGCACTGAAGCTGCTGGCTGGATGACACTTCTGCTTTGTATGCAGTTCTGAATAGTCTGGAGTCCATCATGAAACAGTCATCACTCATATAATGTGCATTATTTTTTTGTAATCCTAATAGAGATGAAAGGTGTTAATAACTGAACTGTCAATTACAAAAAGAATGTTACTCCAGTGGAAACCAGTTTGAACCAGAATTCCAAAATTCAAAACCTTCTTATAGTCTGTAGGGCATTTTTCTCTGCTGTTGTTTTATTTTCATTTAGGGTTTTGACTGTATTTGAACTAAACTTGGCAGGTAACCAAGTGTAATTGCTCTCTGTCCTGGTGTTTAATCAGTTTCATAAAATTAAGCATTTCTCATTTGGAGATAATTCAGTTTTTTCCTCTGTAGATGAACTTGCTCCAGAACCATAAGTCCCTGGTCATTGTCTCCTAATTTGAAGTGTACATGTTAATGATTTAGTGGTGATACATTTATTTTACATAGCCATCATGGCAGCCTTATTGTGAAACCTCATGCTTTTGTTTGTGAGTCTAAGTGAGACAAGTGATCCTGGCTCACTATGAACAGTATATAGAAATAGTGTAGTTAAATGCTCATTATTTTCTTCTGAGGACGCATCTCTCATCCTTTCAGAAACTTTTTTCAAAGTTTCGTCCAACTATTTTCTACTGTTTAATGCATAAATACCAATTCTTTTCAAATAAGAAAGTAATTTTGTTTTATATCAACTCTATGCTGTAGCTCAGGTATTTGAGAGGTATCCAGTCACTCACTGCTGAAACCTTAAGGTAATACAGGTTCCCTTAAGGAGACTGTCAGCTCATACAAAAAACAGCACAGAACAGAATAGCACTAATATTTAATGAAATGTTTGCAAACAGCTTAGTTCAGTTTGCCATGTCTACAATATGTTTGTGTAGAGAGACCTTTTGTGTCCTTTTTTGTCGTGGCTAAAATATTCTTGGCACGAATGAAGATTGTTGCCTGCATCTTGCTAAGACATTGCTGCTGGTTGTTGGAATTCCCTTGAAGCTCATACCCAAGTAAATTGTGAAAGCATTAAACGATCAATTTAAAAAGAGTCCTTCTTCGTGCCCTTCATGGTACTGATGTAGTTTTGCATGGCACTTACAGAGGGTTCCCTGGGGCTGAATTTGCTGAGAGAATATCTGATAAAGAGCTCACACTGTTCATCTGCAGGTAGCAAAGGAGCACCTGCAACTGCACACCTCCACCTCTTTGCCAACACCCTGACAAACAGAAGAGCTGCGAGTGATGAGTGAGCTTGATGCTGAGCTTAATTCTTAAATCTAACCTGGTTTGCTGAATTAAGCTGTGTTTTTCAAGAACACACTTATGCTAATGAAAAACAACCCAAGTGTTGGCACTCATGTCATTTTTTAAGGAACTGGAAGATGACACTCAGTGTAAACCAAGTAAAATCAATGCTGCTTGCTATTAGCTGGTTTTTTTGACTGAGTTCCTTGTCCATTCTAATCTGTGTAATTTAAGGGATTAAAGAAGGCTAAATGGTATTTCCATTCTTTTTGCTAGCTCCATTAAAAAGCTGCAAAATAAAGTGAAACTGTGTCTGTAAAGAAAATATCTGGATTATAGGTAGAATTAAAATCCTTTAGTCTGTTCACAACTGGCATTTCACTCTTTCAGCTGAGGTGATCACTTGCCTCTTGGTTTAAAAATAGTAGAAGGTGATAGAAGGAAGAAACTTCCAATCCAACTGCAACCCACATGTACAGGGGTATTACAACTGAGCATTTTTTTTGTGAATCTTGTTTAAAACAATCCATCCTTCTCAAAACTTCTAACTTTGTATTCTATTAGGTAGTCTAGCCTTCAATGTTAAGTGTTGCTTGTTTACTGAATAAATCAAAATAAGGAGGACATTCTCCAGTTGTAATAGTCCAAATTCTTAATAGCCCAAAGTAGGGGGAATACTTAGAGACTAATTATTTTAAATGGGCAAACTGCTTCAGGTGGAAAATCGCCTGCTGAATATATGACATGGTTTCATCAGGGTAGAATATTCCAGATACAATCCAGAGCAGTTATTTGTTAAAGCATCATGCTGATATGCCATCAGATGAGGGTGAAATTTTGCTGAGATGAAGAATTATTTTATTATACAGCAAGGAGAGGCAGATGAAGTGTTCTGACTGAACTCTGTCATGGAGGGTGAACTTGTTTAATTTAATCTCTGTTCTGAGAGCCTTAGAATCTGAGTGCTGCAGAAATTAAAACTGCTTCTTATTTTCTTTGAGACAACACAGGGAGATTAAGTGTCCACTTATATTACTTTCTAGTTTTTCAGAACAATATTAGTGTTCTGACACTTCTTGGATGACACAGAGAAAGAACTTGGTCCCACATGTCAGTAAATCAAAGTGCTGCTATAAAGTAACAGCAGTGTCTGAACTCAGAGCTGGCTCCAGCCTCCATTGCCCTTCTCCCACATTACAGTAAGTGTAGTTGCATTTAGATGTGAAACTCTCTGAGCTGCTGAGAGGCGTCCTGTAATTTAAGAATGGAAAGTGTCCCAGCTATTTCTTATTTTTGATGAATTTTCCAAACATGACAAGGTACTACATGGGGCAGCTACTCAAGTGATAAGGTAACCACTTGCTCTTGCTCTGTTTGGTTTTGTTTTGTTGTAGAGTTATTTAACACTCATATTAGGAAGCCTGTAGTGCCAGTGAAGATATATGGAAAGCATCCCTCCTCAAGAGAGAACCATTAACTTTGGAATTTCTTTTTTTTTCCCCCCAGCCTGAAAGAATTCCTGCCTAAAGAATATACCAAACAAAGAGGGGCTGAAAAGAGAATATTTCAGGTATTTGTGAGGCTGAAAAATATACTGTAATTCCACTACCCTTAGAAGGAAAATACGAGATTTGTATATACTTAAGCTATATAGCTATCAGAAAATGAAGTATCAAATGTTTGACAGCTTTTATTTTATTTCTTCAGCAGATTTATTTTCCTGATCCTTTTTTCTTCACTGATGATTATCCAATGTGCTTTGGTAAATGGAGAGAGTAAACATTCAGTATTTTCAAGATCTTTTTGTCAGTTGCATTGAAATACAAATATGTGTATTTGTACTAAAATAGACACATGTTTAGGAAAGCCAGTTTTAATTGCATGCCTCGTTCAAACATGTGCCTCAATTCTGCTTGTTAATGTTTGAATTCAGTGGTGTGTGGGGGAATCACCTCACTGTAAAAGACTGGAGCAGTTAAGTATAAATGGTAAAATACACTGATACTGTACTGTTAGGAGTGGTCTCACAGTCTGAGTCCTGTAGATGCACCAGGTATCTCTGCCCACTGAAATACACGTTTGGTAACACAATGGAAGTTGGAGAATTCTGAGGTCAACAGGTGACAAAAAGTCATGTGGCTTCTGGAAGGGCACACCAGTGATCTGTGATCTCAGCTAGGGAGACAAATTGAAGAGCAGGAGCAGGTCACATCCTTTCTTTGTCTGCTACACTCCCAACTGAAAAATGCTCTAACTTAAAGAGCCTGTTCTGCCTTGAGTTTTCAGTGCTTCCTTGTAGACGAGTATGTCTGACACTTTTCTGTGCACCTTTAGGTGGTGCAGTGACATTGCAGTTTAAGCAAAACCCAGATTCATTCACTTCTGAGTGTCATGGCCATGCTGTTCATAGCATGGGACTTTTACCCATGTCAGATATGACTTATGAGTAGTTGCAATCATGATGTGTTTTAGTGCATGGACCAGAAGCCCATCAATGAGGACACTGATCTGGGCAAAGAATTGACAACAAGATAGAATATGTGAGCTGTATTTTTGGAAAAAACTCAGCTGCTTCCCAAGTCATGAAGTTCTGGAGCTTGGCAGGTGCTCCATTTGTGCTCCTTGCTCTTTTGGGGTCCTGGTTGTGTTCTCTGTGCTGAAGCTGACACATGGGAGCAGCCTGTATTCTTGGGATGCAAGAGGCTTTTGGAGTTGCAGTTGCTCCTCCCAGCACTTTTCCTTGGAAGCTCCCACGCAGTTGGGGTGGGAACAAGTGGAATAAGAAGACATTTCCCATGTGCCTGGTGCTCCCTCTGCTGCCATCTGTGAGCATGGAAGAGGTGGAAGCAGCAGTTCAGAAGCACGTGAGGGGAAGATGGGGTGGGATCGGGAATCCCACAAGCAGGATTTCAATAGTGAGACATTTGGATGCAGTTTTCAGCACAGTGGTCTGGAGAGGAGAGCAGATGCTGGGGTGAAATTCACCCATAAGATCGGTACCTGTCATTACTTACATGTAGTCATCAATCCACTAATGAGCACATTGGTTAAATAATAAATAGATACTGAGTTATAGGACACAGTCAGATGAGTATCTCAAGAGGAACTATTCAGAGAAATCCTTGTTTGTTCCTCAGCTTTAGAGTTATTTTCATGTGATGGAAAAAGATTCTGGATAATGCTGCAACTGGCAAAAAAGGCCCATTGGAAGTACCTATGAGACCTGAGAAATGGTCAAGTACAAGGTGTGAAGCTGTCATGAATCAGAAGTTCTGGGCACAAAGCAAGAATAAATAATCTGTTTCTGGGAGGGGAAAAAAGGGTGCTGGTACACTTAAATGACTTTTAAAAGCTGAATGAAGAGACATTAATTTTATGAAACCTAATGGTGTTGAATAGCAGGAATACCTAGAATTTTAAACTGTGTCAGAAGGGGTTTAATGTACATGGTCTGAGGCACAGATTGAATGGTTGATGGTCAGAGAGGAGTGTTTCATTTGCCCAGGTTGCTTACTTTCTCTAATATGAGGGCATTATATGATAGTTTTGCTAACATTTCTACCCAGTATTTTTTCAAATATTCTACTTGTATTGATTATTAACTAAGCATCTTGAAATAGATAAAAGCTGTACCTTTTGTTTGTTTCTAGAAAGCTTTGGTTCTGCCTAATGGATTGTGACCTCTCTTACAGGAGCACAAAAACTGTGGAGAGATGACTGAAATAGAAGCCAAAGTGAAGTACGTGAAGCTGGCGCGTTCCCTGCGCACCTACGGGGTGTCGTTTTTCCTTGTTAAGGTAACAGAGCTCTTGCTGTGACCATCCTGTATCCTTGCTTATGGATTATCCCTCGTTAAACAAAGGTTTGCTACCTTGATCACTAAGGTATTTCAGTTTCCAGGAGGAGGGACAAAAGGAGTTGTCTTTTGAACTGAATACTAAAGATCCACGAAAGACCAGAGCTTTGTAATGCATTGCTGAAAATCATTGTCTGTAAACAGACAAACTAGGCCTGGAGTTTTAAATTGTCACTGTCTGCATGCCAGTTGCTTCCTTCTGTCAGTATTTTGCTTTTCCTTTGTCCTGTGGGAAGCTGCATTTGTATGGAGAACAATCTTCCACACCTTGTTTTAGGAAAAAATGAAAGGCAAAAACAAGCTGGTTCCTCGTTTGCTGGGGGTCACCAAAGACTCAGTGATGCGTGTGGATGAGAAGACCAAGGAAGTGTTGCAGGAATGGCCACTGACAACTGTGAAACGCTGGGCTGCCTCACCTAAAAGCTTCACTCTGGTAATCTCTCTGTGTATATTCAGAGGATGAGGGATTTATGTGGCAAGGAGACTTGGAACAGTTTCTGTATTGTCACTTGTTCTATCTCTAATTTTCTAGTTATATAGAGTCACTGAGTCCTCAAGTAATAAATTGGCACATACTGTAGTCAGGTTCAGTCTGTAGTTTGGTGCTTCTAGATAGACCAGTTCCTCAGAAGTACTGTTTAAATCTTTCAACAAACCACTGTTTAAATCAGGTTTGTTCCTAACTAATGAAACAGTTAAAGGATTATTTTTCATACTTGTGTAATTATGGTGCTTGTCATTCATAATGTACTTTGTGACTTGCAAGATATGAACGTAAACAAAGTGGACTCATTCGTATTTTTGACAATTATTAATTTAGAGAAGCTTCATGAATGTGGTATTTTGTTAATTATTTGGTCCATAGGAGACCACTGCAGCATGAGTTTGTATACAAAAGATGATTTAAAGTGATGGAGCAAGATGCAGAGGATAGAAAGTTGCAATCACTTGACTAATGTGCATCTAATTTACAGTTGCATGGATGATTATGCTCCAGGATTAAATTCTAGAAAAACTTTCCTCCATCCTCAAGTGACTGAATCTGGTAAAGTTAGATGAAGTATCTCTTGGGTGTTTCAAGTTATGAAACATCTGCGATTAAACTGAAATAAAAAGCATTTTTCTGTCTTCCCTCAGTCTTGCATACAGAATGGTTTAGAGTCTTAGAGAAGTTTAACTTACTGTTGAATATAATAAAATGTCAATATGATTTCAGAATATGAATTTTATCACTCATATTTGGTACTGTTTCTTCATTTATCTACTTCACATTTTCAAATAAGTTTTGAGTTTTTTCCCTTTTTCTTCAGGATTTTGGTGAATATCAGGAAAGCTATTACTCAGTACAGACCACTGAAGGAGAACAGATCTCTCAATTAATTGCAGGTTACATTGATATCATCCTAAAGAAGGTACAGTATTAACATCTTGGCCTGTAGCAAAAAAGCAAAATATCAAATATGTGCAAACTGCAGTTGTTCTCTCATGGAGTCAGTGTTGAGTCTTGTGTTTTGATGTTATATATTTTTACCTGCAAGTAAGGCACTGCTTCTGGAAAATTCAAGGCTATTTATTACATCTCTAGCATGTGTCAGGCTGGGCTTTGTTTATTTTCTGGAAAGTGGCCTGGTGACTCTGAGTGTATATCCAGGGAAGAGTCCAAAGCTTCAGCTGTTTTTCAGGATTTTTAAGCTATAATCCAAAGTGATGAATCAGGTGGGAAGAAATTACCCTAGAAGCATATTTAAGATATAGCCAGGACTACACAATAATTGTCCAGGTGCTCTTGTATGTAATGTACCAAATCTGACAAAGTTTTTTGGCCAGAAAAACAAACCAAAAAGCCCCAACAGTGCATTGCTTTAAAACCCCTGTGATTAGTAAAGCAAAGAGCCAGACCTCAGTTGTGCAGAGAGGGATAAAATCAGTGCTTGTGAAGATGTCAGACTGCCCTGAAACTTGTTTTTATAGAATATTCCTGGCAGGAGAGAGGAAGGGATACAAATTTCCAGTATTCAGATATTCCCAAGCAAGTAATTGCAACAGCAAAAAATGGCAAGTTTGCCAACCAGCATGGAGCTGAGTGGTCCCTTTCTAAGCATGTTGTACAGCAAAGTGAAGTGTTCCAAAGAGCACTGATTGCTTCTTGTCACATTTTTATTTTATTGACTTTCCCAACTACATCACTCTTTAGTAGATTTTAGTAGTAAAAATCACAAAGTTAAGTAGCCCAGAAGTATTTATTGCCTTTTTTCATGTGAGCAGTGTAGGATGTAACATGAAGTGTTATATAATAAGAGGTTGAGGAGGATTGCTGAAATTCATCACATGCTTTTTTCTCTGAGGCTGTCAGGCTCAGGTTTAATAAACATCAAATAAATTGCAAGCTTCTGTATATGATTTAAAACTTGAGTCAAAAGTAGTGTTGCTCTCTAGTGCTAAATGAAAGCAGCCTTCTGTCTTGATAGAATACAAATGTGCAAATTTCCACTTCCAGTCCTTTGATTTTTTTTTTCTCTGCTATCTGCTGACACAGTCAATTTAAAATGAATGAATTAGGAACAGGTTAAATCATAAACAGCCATGATTCATATGAGAAGCTGCAGTTCATAGTTGTTGAGCCCACATTATCTCTCTGATGGATACCTCAAAGTGGGATTTATTGCTTTCAGTTGCATATTGTTAATTCTTGGTGTGGTTTGGTCTGGTCCAACTCGTTTTCTCCAGTGTACATTGATTGGTACATTTTTTTCTGCTCAAGTGTTATTAATATAGTGTTCCCCCCCACTCCACCCAACCCCTCATGTCCTACAATTTTAGTGCTAGGTCATGAATCAGGTGACAGAGAACTCAGAACTGGAGTAGTGTATATCTAAATTTAAAACAGTAGATTTTGGTTTTTACTTCGTATTATTAGAGAAGTAAAGCAGAATCTTGACTAGAAATAGGGAGTTTCAGTTTGTGCATTAAATCAAACTAATAGTAACAACTTCTTTCTCCAAAGTTGTGTGTTCATGTAGATGTGCATAAGGAGTTCCTCTTGAATGGAAGGTCATAGTGGATACTCTTCATATTCCTCTATATGAATTCAGACTACAAATCATATAGCTTGCAAGAAGGAAAGCAGAGTTTCTCTGCACTGGGCAACAAGTAGAAATACTCTTTTTATAAAGCACTATTTCTGTGATTTATAGTTTCCTGTTGTTTCTAGTGGTTTAGGCTTACTGCCTTTATGTATGCTTACAAATCTCTCTTGGCACTGAAAAAGCCCTGCCTCAGTCTTCAGCCTGAAGTCAGACTGTCCTGAACTTTCAAGTACCTGTGATAAAATGACTCGGAGACAGTGTTCAATTTATTGGTTTTGCTTATGGGTATGGATTTCCTACTAGTAGTGATGCCTTTTTCAGGCTTAGCTAGAAACAGAGGTCAGACAAAGTTAAAAGAATAAAAGTGAATCTATTTAATGAAGGGCTTTCAGGTACATTAAGGGCAGACAAAACCTCCCCAAAGGGCTATACCCAAAATGATGATGGGATGATGGTCCTGAGTTTTTCAGACAGATACAAGTTTGGTCCATTTACATATCAGGGGTTAATCCTCTAATTACAGCTTCAGGTAATGAAGCCATATTCCCCTCCCAAGTTCACTTTTGTTTATACTTTTTGGGGCCTGAGGCTGTTGGGTGTCCTTGGATCTCAGGCCTAGAGGGATTGTTTTGTCTGACCAAAATGTGAAGACGGTGATTAACACTATATGGAGTTTAGAGTTATGCACTAATGCAATACAGGATTTGAAAAATATAAAGGTTAAAATTTTAAGGCATCAGTAGGTAGCACTGTACAGTAACATTTCAGCACTTTCCTTATACCTTTGTTCACAAAGGCACCAGCTGGCTTTTTTCCTTCATGTGTTCCATCTGCCAGGGTACAGAACCTCGGTTGTTAAATGCTGAAGAGTGCCTCTTTTCCAGGGGAGGTTGTATTGTCACTCACTGCCCAACAGTGTGGTGTTCAGCACCAGACAAGGCTCTGCAGGTCATTTGTTTGGATTTGTGATAAAAGGCAAGGAAATGGTGGAGAGAAAGCAGCAATACATTGTTTAATTTATCTTTTTTTCCCCCCTTCCAGAAACAAAGTAAAGATAGATTTGGGCTTGAAGGTGATGAGGAATCAACCATGTTGGAAGAATCTGTTTCACCTAAGAAGTGAGTGCATCCAACAGGAGGAAATGGTCTGTGTTTAAGAGTTGAGCTGCAGCAGCATTTTCAAATGAAGTAGTACAGTTATTACTGTTAAAGAATGGTTTTCTACTGAGTATTTCAACAGAAGGAAGCACTGTCCCCGGGCAATTCAGCAGGCTCCTAGCTTCATTCAAGGATTGAAGAGCAGATATTTGTCACAAAATTGTTGGTTAGGGCAGCCAGCAATGGCACCAGTTTGTGCTAACTTAACCCTTCAACAAAGGCACTCAGGCTGCAATTCAGTAAAATGCTGGTGCAGAGAGGGGGGTGGTGAAGCAGAGATGAAAAGTTGTTTTTTTTATCTTCACGTGTGATTTAGAAGGTTTTAGTTGCTTCTGTCTGCTAATTTCATGGTTTCCAGTAGATTTGACACCTGTCAGTTTAGTTGCACACAATGTTATGAGCAGAGCTGGCTTATTTCACCAGCCAAACCCTTCAGATGTGTGCTCTGGGTAGAAGAAAGGGTTTGGTACAAGTAGATCAGATTATGGTTTTGATGAGACAGTAACTGAATATAGCAAAACACAGAACTGTGGAGCTGGCCACACTTGAAAAGGAATGTCAAATCTTTCTGTGCAGTGAGACAATAGAAACAAATTTGTAATTTGTGACATTATAAGCTGTAATGAGCCACTCAAGTCTTTTCTTGGAACTCTTGAGGCTGTCACCAGTGTGTATGTGAAAAGTCCATTTGATTTATGGTTAAGTATACAGTTTATATGAGATAGATTTGTTAGGTATTTCATATGGCCTTGTGGGACATTGCGTCTTTTGATGGATCACACATGTTCAGATGTGCTTTATTTTGATATGGCCCTTTCCAAATCACTTCCAGAATATACTGTTAGTTAAGTGCTGTGCAGAGAAGCCTGAAATTTGTAGTAGATAAATACAAGGTTTTTTCATAGCTGAAATCATTTTTTCCCCCTCAGCAGTGTTGTTGTTGCAGCCTGAATTTCTGTCGATGCTTCTGGCTATTAAAGGTTGAATCATGTTGAATTATGAGCAGTATATCTGGCAAAGCAATTCATGACCGTGGATGGCAGTAACTTTATTTTTCTGTAGCCCAGTATCTGGTGGACTGCCAGATTATTTGTAAGTGCTGTGTATGCTTATTTGTATAAAGGGGGAAGAAAGTTTTTGTCCCAGTTCTTGGGAGTACTTGCCAAAGATCTCCCCGAGGTTCATGCTTCTATTTTCTATTGATCAGCCTGTGATACAACTGAAACAAAGCAGCTGTTATTCCATAAACCTTGTTCTGGTTCTATCTGCCATGCTTCTAAAGGGTAAAGGGTAAAGCTATTGTATCATATTTAACAAAATTGCACATTGCCATCTTTCCTTGGTGCCTGCTCATTAATGCTATTCATGACTGATCTGCCAGAAGCCCCGGATTGTCTTTTTTCCTATATATTAGAAAATGGTTAGAAGGAATAACCATCATGTTTTCCAGCTTTTCCCAATGTTACTAAATGCAGTTGAAATCCTAGAGGAAGACCAGCTGAGAGAAGTGGATTTTCAGGAGCTCACTAATTCTGTGCTGGGTGGTTTATTTTCCCCAGGTCCACCATTCTGCAGCAGCAGTTTAACCGCACTGGGAAGGTGGAGCACGGCTCCGTGGCTCTGCCGGCTGTGATGCGCTCTGGCTCCAGCGGCCCCGAGACCTTCAACGTTGGCATCATGCCTTCACCTCAGCAGCAAGTCACAACTGGCCAGATGCACAGAGGACATATGCCCCCACTTGTGAGAATCCTCCTTGCTTTGTGTGTGACACCTGTCTGTGCAGCAAGCAGCCAGAAACAGAATGTTATACACGTTTCTAAAACCAGGAGTCCTGGCTGTTATGTCCTGGCTGTTCTACCAAACATAAGTTTTGAGCATCCCTTAAATATTTAGGGTGTCATATTTTTACTTATTTCCTCATTTTCTTTAAAGCAAATTCTTCCACCCTTTTCTTTACTTCTAAGTAGTTAAAACAAGTATTCAAAGGGGAAAAAAAAAAAGGGGTTTGAAGACTGGCAAAAGTAAGCAATTTTAAGGATAAAGCTCACTTCTAGCTTATCACTAGATACATATATATATCACCAACCTTGACATTTTTTAGCAGGCTTAAAGCTGATAGTGCCTCTTTTCATTTAAATTGAAAGGCTTTCACAAGCCACAAACAGCATTTATAGAATAAAATTCTAATGGCTAATTCTCCCAGAGGCCACCCCTGCAGCCAAAACTTTGCCACAGACACCCAATACAAACAGCATTTTGCTCTGCCTAAACCCCTTCATTTTTCTGTTACCTTATGCATATTGATGACAACTTAGTTTTAGAGTCATCCTTGATTGCATTGGGAGGCTCTCACAGGAAATTAATAATAATCTCCTAGAAGCAAATGGAGTTTTGATGTTGCTCAAATGCAGGTGAGTAAGACAGCTCAGTAGGTTTGTGTGTTTGTTGGCCATTGTTTGAGCTGAGAAAGTTGAGCACTTTATATGTGTGTGCAAGTACCCCAGAGTGTAAAATGGCATGAGCAGAATCAAGACTTTGGGAAGAGTTTGAGGGCTTTGCTTTCTCCATTGTGCCAGGGAAGAGGCAGCTCTGACATGGCCTGGTGTGGGTGTTGGGCTGCTGTCACTCAGGGTCTCTTCATGGATGTGACATGTGCTTGCAGTGCTCTCTGGAGCACAGCACAGCCATTGCCTTGCTCTGCCTTGCAGACCTCAGCCCAGCAGGCCCTGATGGGCACCATCAACAGCAGCATGCACGCCGTTCAGCAGGCACAGGCTGACCTCAGTGAGGTGGATAACCTGCCACCTCTGGGGCACGACATGGTGAGTTCTTCTAATCCACAGAAAGGAGCCTAAGGCCTTTGGGGTGTTTACAGACCAGTTTAGTCATTGTCCCCGGATCTTGAGTGATATTGCTCAAGTTTTTAAGATGGGGTAAAAATTTTGTGCTCTCTTTAAGGAATTCATTACATCTCAGTCTCCTGAGATCAGATGTAGCAGACCTTACATAAACCTGCCTGGAATGCTATTGTTTTGTGGGCATATGTACAGTTCGAGACAAACTATGGGCAATATTGATGGTTGGGCTTATTTTCCATGTCTCTGCGAGGCACTGAGAACAAAATATGATTGTTGTTCGTGATCCAGGTTAGGGCAGGAGAATGGAGCCAGAGGATTATTGCTTATGGGGAACTGTCAGTCAAGAGTGTGCATTTACCTTAAAAGGGCAGCTGTTGAAATGTGAGAGCAAATCTAATTAATGAATCAGCAGAAGAAAATGCTTGCTTTCATATTTCACTTTAAGGGCCTGCTGCTTATCTTCTGTTTCACTTTTAAAATTTCACAAAGGAATGGGATGTGTACATAGTATCTTGCCTTACAGAACCTCACTGTAGTCTTTAATTCTTCTTTTTGTTATTGCTCTTTAGGCATCAAGAGTATGGGTTCAGAACAAGGTTGATGAATCCAAACATGAAATACACTCTCAAGTTGATGCAATCACTGCAGGAACTGCATCTGTTGTTAACCTTACAGCAGGTAAATTTCAATGGGAAGGATTTCCTTGCAGTGTCCTATTAGTCAATCTAAATCAAGTAACATAAGAACTGAGTGTGGGGCAGCTGCAGAACATTTTCTTTAAAACACACCAATAGCCAAGTGCATTGATGTGTGGAGCAAACTTGGTGTCCCTCCTCACATAATTTTTTCTATCTTCAGTTTCTCTAAAGGTGTAACAGTCAGTGAAGATAAAATGTAGCTTGCTTATCCAACAGAGTAGAGAATGCAAGGTTACTGCAAGAAAGCATCCTTGATCTGGCAGTTAAGGAGAGATTGTTTTTATTGACAGTGGGTTTTACTTCAGAAAGTTTAATTCAGAAAGAGTGGCTTAAAGGAGATAAGACTGTTACCTTAGGTTCTTGTACTATTGAAAGAGGCTGAAACTGTGGACTTCTCAGCAAATTACATTGAATGAAGAAACATTCTGTTAGAGGATAGATTATTGCAGAAGAAATGTAGAAATCAGAAAACTTATAGCAATCTCATGGTTTTTTTCAGTGACACATTTAGTAGGCATTGCTTGGCTGTCTTGAAATGTCTCTTATCTCTCACCAGAGTGTAGCTTGTTGTAGCTGCCCCTGTTTCCCTTTTAGCCACTAAAGCATTCTGATCATTGGAAAACATTTGCTCTGCAGGGGACCCAGTTGACACTGATTACACTGCTGTGGGATGTGCAATTACAACCATTTCCTCCAACCTCACTGAGATGTCCAAAGGTGTGAAATTGCTTGCTGCTCTCATGGATGATGAAATTGGAAGTGGAGAAGACCTCCTGAAAGCTGCTCGAACCTTGGCCAGTGCTGTCTCAGACTTGCTGAAGGCTGTGCAGCCTACTTCAGGAGAGGTGAATAAAGAAAAACTTCTCAGATTCCCTCTTTTTTGACCATATTGCTTGCACACTAATGCAGAAATTCCTTGAGGAAATGTAAAATGCAAGTAAAGCTCATTTTCTTTGAATTAATGCATTTCACTGTTACCCCTTCCCAGCCTCGCCAGACAGTTTTGACTGCAGCTGGAAGCATTGGACAAGCAAGTGGGGAGCTACTGAGACAAATTGGAGAGAATGAAACAGATGAAAGGTTCCAGGTAATGAGGGGGTTTCTTGTCACTGTGCAGTTTTTTAATGAGGAGGTGCCTGCATAAAACCAGGCTGCTCAAATTGTGGTTAGAAAATGCTGGAGTTTCTTTATGCTAATTGAATCAGTTTGGAAGTTGGTTTTAACTACAAACTCACAGCATGCTGATTTCATAGGAACCACTATTTTGTTTTGTGCATCATACAGATGCTGTCATATTTCATGGAGAGCTTTTTGCACTGTATTTCTGCTCATTGAATCTAGTGGATTTTATGTGTTTTCCCTGTCTGCATGTGTACATGTAAACATGTAGACATACATGGTGAACTGAGTAGAAAAAAACATTGTATTACAAACAAAATTTCTTTATTATGATGGTAGCATCAATTACAAAATCATGCTGCCTTATGATTTAACAGTGTTTGCTGTTAGCAGCTTAAGACCAGTGCTCTTAAATCCTCTGTAAAATTCATGTGTGGATTTTTTCACTGAGTGTCAAGGACATGTTTGCACCAGAGCCAAGGGAAGGTGCTTTTGAGCAGCAGATAGACCTCTGGAGTGCACTGTGTGCAAGGAGTCTGCTAATACAACTTGCAGGCCATTTTTGCCACTTCATCCAGCAGTGAATCTGTGAACTCCATCAGAATTCTCATTTGTATTCCTAGTTGAATATATGTTTTACAGCTCTTGGCAAAGAGAAGGATTTTAAGCGTTCTTATCTACATTGAGTGCTGGAGAGTGGGTAAGAAAAGGGATGGTTTATCATATCTAAAAGCAAAACAAAAAGTAGTGGCTTTGATTTTTGCAATGCAAGATTTTCTGCCTGCTGTGAAGTCGAAATTATCAATAAATGTATTGGAACTATTTTCTTTACTGGAAAACCAGGTCGTTTTAACAGTAGAGGGATTAAGAAGACTCCATCCTACTAAAAATTGAAGTATATGGATGGGATTATAAGTGGGGAAATGGGAAGAAATTATTTGAACTTAGGGATTGCAGGAATTAACACCGGAGTGCGTTTTATTGTCGCAGACTGAGTTGTCCCTTTACTTTACCAGGATGTTCTGATGAGTTTGGCCAAAGCTGTTGCCAACGCTGCTGCCATGGTGGTGCTGAAGGCCAAGAATGTGGCACAGGTGGCAGAGGACACAGTCCTGCAGAACAGGGTCATTGCTGCTGCTACCCAGTGTGCACTCTCTACTTCCCAGCTTGTGGCTTGTGCTAAGGTGAGGCGCTGGTGGCTGTGCAGGGGCAGAGCATCGTGTCCAGTGATGTGTTCCCAATGGACCATGAATGGAGTGTTTTCTGAACTCTGTGTGCTCTCTCCATGCAGGTGGTGAGCCCCACCATCAGCTCCCCGGTGTGTCAGGAGCAGCTGATTGAGGCAGGGAAGCTGGTGGATCGCTCCGTGGAGAACTGTGTGCGTGCCTGCCAGGCTGCTACGGATGACAGCGAGTTACTGAAGCAGGTCAGTGCGGCTGCCGGCATCGTGAGCCAGGCCCTCCATGACCTCCTGCAGCACGTGCGCCAGTTCGCCAGCAGGGGCGAGCCCATCGGCCGCTATGACCAGGCCACCGACACCATCATGTGTGTCACCGAGAGCATCTTCAGCTCCATGGGAGATGCCGGTAAGTTCCTAAGAGCAGCAGTAGCTTGCCACGATTCATACGAGCGCCTTTCAAGTCGAGAAAATAAAATTCCTTCTCTGTTTTGTGCTTCTAAGCTAGTGCTGTTGTCATGGGTAATGATCCAGCCCATAATATAAATCAGCAACATGCACATAGCTGTGTGCTAGATGGAGTAAATATTCAGTGAAAACAATCAATACCATGCTGAAAGAACACAGTAATATTGTGTCTGTTTTCTGCTGCTGCTTCACTTCATAGAATTATATAGCAATTTCTCATCTCCAGATAAGAAGGCAGGCAGCTGGGCAAATACTTCAGTGATTGGTGTTACTATGCATAGATTTTGTTGTAGGTTTTTAAACTTACATCTGCTTTTTCTTCTGAGATGTTTCTAAAAAGTACAGCTTCTAAAACAAGAAACAAGATGTTTTTGGCTAAAACCATCTTAATGGTGCTAAGTGTTCTCTGACAAAGTTCTCAGTTTATATTAGACAAAAGATAATTCCCCAGAAACACCGGAAGAAGATGGGTAATTTTTATTGAAGGAATTAAATCTTCTCTGTGATTTGAAAGCAAAATTATTAGTCTTTGCTGGGACAGGAGTTTCCTTGAACTATATATTCAAAATTACCTAAAAATACAGATTGTGTATTGTTTGTCTTAGTATCTAGATTGCAAATACTCCACTGTAGTGGTTTCTGTCATTTGTATTGTGATCCAAGATTTGCTTACGAAACTTTCAAGTTACATGTATATATGGGTATAATTTTCAAGTGAAAAAATACTTCAGCAAATGTGATTTCATTTTTGCCTTGGGAAATGATGCTGAGTTTTGAAGCCAAGACTGAAGTACAGAGAGGAGAAAGTAAAAACGCAGTTGTGCTCCCCAGGTGAAATGGTGCGGCAGGCGAGGGTGCTGGCTCAGGCCACCTCTGATCTTGTCAATGCCATGAGGTCTGATGCAGAAGCTGAGATCGACATGGAGAACTCCAAGAAGCTTCTGGCTGCTGCAAAGCTCCTGGCAGATTCCACAGCCCGCATGGTTGAAGCTGCAAAGGTACCAGAAAAATGAACTGTCAGCTTAAAATTGTAAGGCTATATACAACGAAGAAAGATCTATAAATAGGATCTGGCTGATAGTAAAGGTGGTTTCTCTTATCCTGTAAAAGTTTGGTATTTAATGACTTACCCTAGGTACATTCCAAAAACCAATTTATTAGCTACCTAGATTTTTTTGGTTTTAAAATATCTTCTTGCACTGCTGTCCCGTGTGCATAGTGGTCATGACTCAAGCCATGTAGGGCAGTGAGCACCTGCTATAGTGCAGGGTCCTGTACCAGTACAAATGGAACAACAGAAACACAGCAATCTCTTACTGGAGTCATTATAAAGCAGTGCCCCCTGTCTAAGAAACAGTTTCCTTCCACCTGGGGAATCTTGCCTGTGTTGTTTCCCTTCTCATTCTCACAAGAGAGGCAAATATCACAACTTTGCTTCCCTTACCGTGCTGGAAACTTGTTTCAATCTGCTACGGGGCAATGTCCTTTGAATTGTTTCCTGCACTAAAATGTGTTTTACAGCACAAGGGCCAGCCATTCTGCTGGGACTCCAGAAGGTCTGGCTGCCTATCCTTGTCTTTGCAGTATTTTCTGACTTCAAATGGAAAAAATGTACTGTGCTAAACTTCAAGTTTTGGACTGCATTTACTGAAATACTGACATATTGAATTGGGAATTTCCGGATCTGGGATTTTTTCAGAAACCTGTGTTCATACAAGTACATCATTTCAGATCATAGGGGAAGCAGTTAAAAAAGTCTTTCTTCCCAAGCACCTGAAGTAGTTTATGAAGGAAATGTTCAGCTTTCTTCCTCTAATTACCAGACAGACACTAACAGCCTTCCACTGGAAACAGTCTTTGTGTTTTGAAGTTTTCTGATATGTCAGTGTTCTTCTAACTTTCCTTATGGCAATTTAAGGAACATCAATGCTGATGTAGCAGATGCTATCTGAACTTAAGTCTCAATGTTCATCCACATTTTCTGCAATCATTTTTACTCAGACTTACGGTTTTTTCTTGAAAACTTTGTGCAGGGAGCTGCAGCCAATCCTGAAAATGAGGATCAACAGCAGCGTCTGAGAGAAGCAGCAGAGGGACTGCGGGTTGCTACAAATGCTGCTGCACAGAATGCCATCAAGAAGAAAATTGTCAACAGATTAGAGGTTGGAAACCATCTAGTGCAAGTGCTAAGCTGAGAATTACTGCACCATAAACTCAGTTCCAGAGTCCAAAGCTTAGAATTAGACATGCCAGTATATCATAACATAGTCCTCAGAAAACTGAGTAACTTGTATCACAGATGTGGTAAAGTGGTGAAAGGATTTGACTCACAAGGCATTTGATGGTGGCCTAGTCCTAAAATTAAACAGCTGAGCTGAAATGGCTTCACTGCTGTGTCAATTTATCTCTGTGGTGTGCCTTTTACACACAGTATCTCTTGGTGGCTTTACTAGGATATAGATTCCATAGGAATTTCTCTACAAAGTTAGCTGAATCACAGCATATCCAGTTGAACTGGGAAATTCCTCAGAGTCAAGAAGCAGAAACAGAAGTAAAAAGATACATCCTATCTAGTGGCCCAGCCAAGAAGAGAAAGGCTATTTGTTAAGGATAAAATACTGTGGAAGTTTGTTTTGTAGGCCAAGTTTGATCTTCACATTCTCAATGAAAATTAAGAAAAGGCAGATTAAGAAAAGAAAGTTTTCGTAATTCTTAGTTTGCAACTGTGATTTTTGCATTGATCGGATTGAAATGCAGTAAGGTAACCATGTTCCAGAAATACATTAAGTTGCTGTATCTGTCTAGAACTAAAAATCAGAAGTACTTTAGGAAATAAAGGCTGATGTCTGTAATTTTCTAACTGCATTCAAGGAAGTTTTATACAAAGAGTATTTTATATGTTTTATACTACCTTACAAAGGAGTAAAATCTTCTATTTAGTGGGCCTGTTAGTATGGTACAACCTTGGATGAATTGTTGAATTTTTATTTTTGTAATAAGGAGATGTTGATTTGAAGAAGGTCTTCACAATGCTTTTAGACTCAGAAATGCCCGTATTTTGTACCTCTGTGTCATTTTAGTATCTTTGCTTTTGCCATAGAACAATCTCAGGAGAAATTGGCTCCCTGGGGTCCTGGGTCAGAGGTATCAATGTAGCAGTGTGAGGCACTGGGTGTACTTTGCCTGTTTTCTCTGGCCTTCATAAGGAGCTCATTGTTTAGACCATTTCTGCTCTTTGTAGTTCACTTATCTTCCTCTTATTGAAACCTAAACTATGAAAGAGTAAGGGCATAGAATGCTTCCAAGTCTGCCTTTTTCTTTATTGGCAAATTAGAGATGGATAACAATATTCAAATAATTTTCACCTTGAGAGAAGAGCAGTGATGGTCAGTTGAAGTTTTCTTAAGCCAAGTCAAATTAAGGGATAAAATGTATTATTTTGTCGATGTTGTTACTGTCCAAGTTACCCATAGTAATGTGTGCTTCATCCTCTGAATTACTCAGTTTTAGCACTAATTTAACTTTGTTTTTCTCCAAAGATTGCAGCTAAACAAGCTGCAGCTGCTGCTACTCAGACTATTGCAGCTTCTCAGAATGCAGCTGTTTCCAATAAGAACACAGCAGCCCACCAGCAACTTGTACAGAGCTGCAAGGTAAACACAGCACAGCCCTTGACAAATAACTCTTGAATTCTGCTTTATGGGGAACTGATGAGGATCACCTTCTATAATACTGTTGCAGCCTCAAAAGGAGCTTTAAAAAAAAAAGGCAAATAACATTCTATATGTTCATGTGCATGGATTCTGGAGAGCCCTCATTTACTGTGTTTATGTGGGCATTGCTGTTTGTAGAGCTTTGCAAAGCTGAGCTGCTGCTAGTGCCATGTAACACTTGGCTGTTACACACACCTTGGAAAAGGATGCACAGGTGTGTAACTGCTCAGCAACAGCCAATTCACCTGAAGTAAGTCCTTTTACTACAAGTTTTGGTACAGATCAGCCAGTGATGGAACATATGCAGAGCTGTGCTGGAAGCACTGTACAGAGGGGTCCAATTGCTCAGGAATTTGTGATACCCTGACTCAGATTCTCAGCTTTGGCCACTCATTCAGTGTATGAGTGTGATCTTCAGCAAGGGAGTAGTGTCAGGATCATTAAAACAGGCTGTTGAATCATAAATGCAGTGAAATGGGACTGAGGTCTGTTGTGGGATAAAGGTAACCTTTGGATTTTCCATAATGAAGGATGGAGTAGCAATAGTGATTTATACTATAATGGAGTGAAATTCTTCTTTAACTTATCAGTTATGTAATTGTCATATAACTAACAATTGCTCCTGCTATTCTGAGGTTCCACCTCCAACCAACTGGGACCTTAAATGTCCCATGAAAACAGAAGTGGCAGACCTTACAGTAGGGTTACCATGATTGCTAGCTTGAAGTTAAAGCTCTAAGATCACAGGTTTTAAGGTATGCCCGAAGTCAAGCACGTTTTTATAGTTCCAAGCTAGAATACAGAGTCTGAGAAACTGTTCCCTTTTGTGTTTAAGCCATATTTGCAAAACACAGTAGAATGCAGAAGGATTTTCTTTTGCATCAAACAGCAGTTATGTTGGGAACAATCTCCAATTACTTCTTGTTGTGGTGCTATCCTAAGAAACGTTGGAATTAAATAAGAGAGCTCAAGTATACTTCAGAATTGTCTTGTAGAAAACTTCTATTCCAGTATGAATTTTTAGAAAGTGCAACCTGATAACTATTGTTTACAGTTCATTCTAATTTTGTCTTGATGCTTATTTATTAGATAACAGAGAAGATTCAGTATCTACTTTTTTATATTTTTGTGGTGGTGGGAGTTTAGTATTGTGCTGCTCAAGTGTTATTGTGAAATGGATGGACAAGGACCATGAATGTAGCCAGTCCAGGAATAAAGTTTTAGCAATATATGCTTGCAAATGTTCCAGCCATGCTACGAAGTTTGTGTTGCTGAAAGGCAAGGAAAAGTAGACTGAGGTGCTTGTGTGTAAAAGATAATGTTCTTCTGAAAGCAGGACATTCTCTTGAAAAAAATCTGTTACCTTCACTACTGGCTGAACATATGAAGAAAACAATGAATACTTGATGTACACAATTCTGCATTAAAATCTTGGATTGCCTTGTAGGAGCCTTTAACTAATAAGTAGACTGAATAATTTTCTTTTTTTTTAAAGTAGAACATCTCTAAACAAGTCCTATTGTATATTAATTTGGTTCCATGCATCCTAAATTAATTCTGTGACAGCTCAGGAGTATTTTACTTCGGAATACTGCAGTTGTCTTAAAGGAGATGGGAAGCCTGCTTGTTTTATTTTCAGAGGATTTTGAGTTTTTATTTATTTACTAAAAATCTTTTCCCTTTGTCCATTTTAGAATGTTGCAGACCATATTCCTCAGCTGGTGCAGGGTGTAAGAGGAAGTCAAGCTCAGGCAGAAGACCTCAGTGCCCAGCTTGCTTTAATCAATTCCAGCCAGAATTTCCTTCAGGTGAAGTCCATCAGTCATTACAGTGGATGCAAAAAGCATTTTTTTAGTGCTCTGTGTTTTCATTTGTGGTAAATAACCAGTAAACTGTTTAGAACCATGTAAAGAAGTTCACTGCTAGCTATGAGCCATAGGTAGGGAGAATTGAGTTCCTCAGGTTAGGTGGCTAAAATACATTTTATCTATGGAGAGTGAAAGCTGGAGAGGTTAAAAGTAACAAGAAAAAAAAATTTGTTTGTGGAAAAGAAATGTTCATTGTTGTACACTTGCCTTCTGGACAAGAATTTAAAGAACAAGATAGAGAGAATTTAGTATCTTTCTCAGTAGAGGTCTGAGTCTGGATATGTGACAGGCATTTTTTAACCTTTTTAGGCAAGGTAAACTTAGTGTTGCAGCAACAAGTTTCAGAGTTCCTTAGAAATAAAAGGGAATACTAGTGTGGTTTTTTAGATATTAGCCTGCATAATAGATCTAGGTTGATAGTTGGGGAAAACCACAAAATTTGACTGTGTGCTTTTTCTAAAACATCTTAAAATAGAAAGCTAGAATATTGAGTATTGATAACGAAACTATTGGCTTATTGTTAACATTACAAGAAACAGCACCAGAAACCAATTCTCTGTGTAGTGGTGTGGTCATTACTTGGCATCAGTTAGTCTTGCCTTAAATGTGATTGCTGTTAGCAGATTTTTATGGTCCTGTGTAGGCAGAGGGATCACAAACCATGTTCTCACTCTGTTTAAGTATTTGCTCCATGGTTCCCTCTGGAGTCACATGTTGATCCATCTCTCCTGTGGCTGGCTGTATGTACAGTGGTGATGATGAGAATCAGCAAAGGTTTTTAGGTGTAGTAGCAGTAATCCCTGTGTAGAGTCATTGCTTGATATACAATTTTAATTTCATAGAATTAAGAGGCTAATATTTAGGAACAGAGAGGATTTTGCCATCTCTACGACCTTGACCTGATTGTATCACATGAATGCTGAATGGCAGAATTTCACATTTCAGTACTTCTGAGTACTCTGTATGAGCATTCAAAGGCCTTGGGCAGACATTGGAACCAATGGAGTAGTCATTGTCCCAGTAAAACAAAGATGAGTCCTACTGTAGAGGACTTAGAAATGTGACAGATTTATGACAGGGTGCTCCAGATTAAGGAGCAGGAATGTGCTAGTCATTAAAGAAAAGTCTGGGAACCTCATGAGTGTGTGAATGGAGGAAACAGTTTGTTTGCTCAATCCTAAGCCTTCTTTAAAGAAAACGAGCTGGTAAAACCAATTGTGTTCACTGTTGTTCTTTTTGAACAGCCTGGAAGTAAAATGGTGGCATCTGCTAAAGCTGCTGTCCCCACAGTGACTGATCAAGCAGCAGCAATGCAGCTCAGTCAGTGTGCAAAGAATCTTGCTACCAGCTTGGCTGAGCTAAGAACAGCCTCCCAGAAGGTAGGTAAATACTGCTTTCAATCTGCTAAAACAAGAGGAATTTTTGTCTCCCCTGAGGGAATGGTTCATGCTCAGGCAGTGCTCACCTCTCACTGCTCTGTTTTGTGCACACTTTGCTCAGACTCCCAGGTGGCCTCTGTATCATGAGAGAAAGGGGAGGGAGAAGTGACAGAAAAAGCTTATGCCACCATTTCCATACCAGACAAATGTGAGCAGAGTATGCAGAGCAGCACATCAAGACTGAGCTGCTGGTACATTCGAGGGAGAGCAGGGAAAAGGGAGCACATCTCATTGCCACCAAACCAGTGAGAACCCACTGTGCTTACTGCTGTACTTGTGAGCTGGCACCTTCATCTCTAAAATTCAGGGAAGCACAGAGGCTCCCTGTGTTTCACACACAGATTTCTGCACTATGTGGGGCTTTAAAAAAATGCAAGGGGAAAGTCTGATTTTTTTTGTGTGCATGTTTGTACACCGAGGCCTGAAACCAGGATTGTAGCACTGAGGTGGCTACACCTGAGCTAATGCTAAAATTTCTCTCTCATACTCATTAATGTGGGCCCCCACATCAGGGGGTCAGTGTGGTTTTGGTCATGATGCACAGTGAGGCCCCTGGTCCAAGGGGAAGTGCAGAGTGCAGCAGTCGCTTTCTCAGTCCCTGGACTGCCTCTGGTGAAGAGACAGGTACACAAGCCACGTGCACCTCATTCCCCTGGTGCCTCTAAGCAGAGTTTCATTTTCTTCACAGACTGAAAATATTGTTCAGGAGTTTGGAATCCATGATGAATAACATTTAGAGGGCTCCCAATGGCCTCTAAAGTAGGAAGAGAAATAATATAGGAGGGGAGATTATATCTGAAGCATTTACTGTTTCTGAAAGTTGCATACAGCTGCTAACAGTGGTACCAATCTCATTTTTGAATAGGCTCATGAAGCTTGTGGCCCAATGGAAATTGATTCTGCTTTGAATACAGTCCAGACACTCAAAAGTGAACTGCAAGATGCGAAGATGGCAGCTGTGGATGGACAGTTAAAACCTCTCCCAGGAGAAACTGTAATTGAGGAAGGATGTTCTTCATTTAAAAACAAACAAAGTTAGCTGTTAAAACACTTAAATATTAGAGGCAAAACAAGTCATGAGGCTTTGGATAATGATGATGCTGATAGGATTTTGCACTGATTCTCTTAAAAAGAGTATATGTTACTATTACAGCAACAGTGTGTTCTGTAGTAGAGTTACTCATAGGACTCTAGGGCCTCCTTCTCTATTGTACAAATTACAGTTTGGTAACAGTAATGTTTTGGTCTTGTTAAAAATAATCTCTTTCCAATAGTGACAATGATGAGAACTCAGGACAGCCAATTCTAGTAGGCTTAGAAAGTGAAATGGTTTATTTCAGTGGGGGAAAAAAAGCCCTTCCTAGGTGAAGGTGTTTACTTCCATTGCTAATTATAAAATAGTTTTATTATACACACTACTAATATGTTAATTTATTTAACAACCTGAATGGGGAAAACATGCTAGTCATATTTGAGAAACTATGTGTTGATTTAATAGCTGAGGTGAAAGTTGAGTTTTTTGTGCAATGAGGAATTTTTCAGTACTATTTAAAACCAAGTGTATTTTCATTGAGCTTAAACCAAGTATTTTGTCCTTTGCCATTTTTTGCAGCTGGAGAAGTGCACTCAGGACCTGGGAAGCACATCCAAAGCAGTTGGTTCTTCAATGGCCCAGTTGTTAACTTGTGCTGCTCAGGGCAACGAGCACTACACAGGTACTGTTTAATTCATAATGGCTCTGTGAAACCTCTGCTTTCCATCCAATACTTGATGAAAAGTTTTCTTGTGACAGATTACTTAAATCAAGGAATTACTCAATTTTTTTCGTACTGATAGTGAATTGTGGTAAGTTATGAAGAACTATGAGTGTGACTCATGCATCATAAAAGAACAGTGATGCAATCTGCTCTGTCTTTAATCAGAATAGATTGGGACATCTGTTGTTTTTGTAAATATGTGCCACTGAAACTCTGAAGGGCTGAAATAAAATGTATTGCATGTTAAAGGTCAGTGCCACTGGAAATGTTGCTGCATCCTTACCAAAGGTTTAAAGGGTGTCTTGGATATATTTTTAAGCAACAGGATGCAAACATAGTGGGGACAGCTTGGTGGCATTCAGAACTGCATCTCTTCCTAGGTGTTACCAGTTCATATGTACAGTGCAGCTGCTCTGGCTGATTCATTGGGCACATTTGCATAGTTTGAGGTAAAGCCAACAGGACATGTGGGTACACAGATTCCACAGTTTATTTTTGTACCTGTACTTTTAGTTTAGAAACAAAAAACACCTTGATGAGAAAAATGCTCTACAGGGGAGACAAAAGTTTGCTCATAGATGTTAAAATGATCTGTGACCTTATTTCTGTAAGAAATAAAAGCTGTTGTTACAAATGCTCCCATAAGATTTTTTTTGTCTAATATTACTGACAAAATGTGTTATGGAAATAACCACTTCATTGGTTATGATTGCATCTGGGCTCTAGAACTTAGAGTTGCTTTCATTTGAAGCAGATGGAATTTCATCAAGATGGCTCATGTTTCTATCACATAGTTGTGCAGAAGTAGGCACTGGGAATCAGGCAAGGGAGCAGATACTTGCAGCTGATAATGAATAGATAAATCTAGTAGCTCTTTTATGATCATGTTGTAGGAAACCCTACAAAGCAATGAGTTCCTTTTCAATAATTTCATAAATAGAAGGAGGAGACCATTATTCACTTAGTCCTGTGCCTTAGCACTGGAGTTGAGAGATGTCCTTTAACATTGACCAGACAGATCACAGAAAGTCATTTTATTATATCCATTCTGTGACTTCATTCAGTTATTTTTGGTTTTACTCACAGTGATGTTAGATTATATCAAGTTGTATAATTCCTAGTAATCTTTTTTGATTGTTTGTAGTTAAACTATTGTTGTGCTGTGGCTCTGCATTCTTTACACTATTCTTGCAGACAATCACTTCTCCCATAGCTTGGAATATGAGTTTTTCCTCACCTGCAGGTTTTAGCTTTCTTCTTTTTCAGTGCTTCACTAAGATCTAGTCACTGGTGTAGAGAATTGTGCTCAGAATGTGATCTTTGGGCTATAACATTTACTTTATGGCTTTACTGCAGGAATTTCTCTATGCAAATGATACTGTTTATTTCAAATGTGTTCCTGCTTGAAGATTTTCTTTTAAGTTGCATTTGCAGTGGTTTTTTGCAATAGGATCATTACCTGCAAGATCATGTCATGAAATACAAAGATTGTCTTTAAAGGTACTAATAGAATCCTTGGTGAAATGTGACCATAGGAGTTGCTGCCAGAGAAACTGCTCAGGCCTTGAAGACCTTGGCTCAGGCAGCACGAGGGGTTGCAGCATCCACCACGGACCCTGTGGCAGCCCATGCAATGCTGGATTCAGCCAGGGATGTCATGGAAGGCTCTGCAATGCTGATTCAAGAAGCCAAGCAGGCCCTGGCTGTCCCAGGGGATGCAGACAGTCAGCAGAGATTAGCCCAGGTAAGCTGGGACTTGAGCAGCTGATGAGTTGTCAAACGCCCAGTGAATTTACTCCAAATCAGCATTAAAAAAAGGAGAGACAATTTTCTTTTCCTTTCAGCAGCTCTCAGACAGTAACATCATGCCTATGTTAAACAGTGCAGATGGTGTAAAGTATGGTTTTTTAGTCATTTCTTAGAAAAATATACAAAGATGCAGCTCTGTGCTTTTACCCACAACATATGTGAGGAGACTGCTTGACTGCACAAGTAAGATAGCCATTAAACTGATAATTTTTAAATAAAAGATCTATATCCATGTTATATTCAAAAAGTGAGTGCATGTTTTCTTCACATCTTCAGACGTGTGGCACCACTCTGTTTCAATTCTTTAGGAGTGACAGGTTCTTTTTTTGCTGATTAGAAAACTTCTAGAATTGGCCTGCATTGTAAATAATTTCATATGAAGATACCTCTGTTTTAATCAGAACTTTGTAAAAAGTAGCATGCAACGAATTTCTGTGATTAGTGTATAGATCACTTCAGGGGCATTCCCTTTTCTCAATGCTGTAGCCTTTATCCCAGGTGCCAGGAGCACATGAATGAGCCTAAATGAAGACTGCAGGTCAGCAAACTGAAAAAGTTGCAAGCCACAAAAATGTTCCTGTAAGGGTCAGGATGTTGGAATTTTTGGCTGTGGAGTAGAGGCTGTGCCTCCTATTAATGAGCACTTAAGCTTCTCTCAGTGCATGTGTTCATTTGTGTGTTGTAGGTGGCAAAAGCAGTGTCTCACTCTTTGAATAACTGTGTGAATTGTCTGCCTGGACAAAAGGATGTGGATGTGGCCTTAAAGAGTATTGGGGAATCCAGCAAGAAGCTCCTTGTTGATTCGGTAAGGTGGCTTTTAATGTGGAAATATATTTTTAGAAAACCGAACAGCAGTTCTGGGTTCCCCATGTGTCAATCATTATTTAGTAAATGTGCCCTAAGTATACTTCATGTGAACTGTGTTTAAGTTTATGCACCTTTAGGCAGCAGCTACTTAAACTGAAATACTGTTTTTGTAGTTTTTAAGCTGTAATGTGTCTGTGACTTGTGAAAACAGTATTAGAATTTTCATAGATTGTTATCCACGTTTTGGTTTTGAAAATAGCAGCTATGACTTAAGATTCCAAAGCATATGAGAATGAGACAATTATAGTTCATCTCCCACCTAGAAGTGATCAGTTTACTTGAAGAAGCAATGTGATCTGTCAAAAAATGCTTGGTCATTTTGTGTAAAGAGTAGAGGTGTTACTTTGTTTAACTGCATTCATGTCAAGAAACCTTTTTTGCACTGGTAATTTGCCACAATATTCTACTATTTGAACAGCCTTTTTTTCTGCATCCATCATTGACCTTGCTATCCTGTGAATAAAGAAGGCATTTTGTTTTAATATGTTTGTGCAATGCCTTTTGATAAAACCAGGGGTTTTTTTACCAAACTGGTTTACTAGAGAGAGTTTAGAGTAATTCTGAAGAACTGCCAATGCTTGTATCTCTTGAAAAGCTTACAGACTTGTCTGTCCCTTGAGAGAAACAGCAGGACACAAGTTGCTGAACAGATTTCTGGTTGACAGCTGTCCCACAGTTCCAGCTCACTGCTCCATTGCATTTGGTATTCTCAGCATGTGTTGAACTCTCCAGTCATGAAAGACTGGTGTGATGTGACAGACAATAAAATATTCAACCTTGTCTCTTACAGCTACCTCCAAGTTCTAAGTCATTTCAAGAAGCTCAGAGTGAACTGAACCAGGCAGCAGCAGACCTGAATCAGTCAGCTGGAGAAGTTGTCCATGCTACACGTGGCCAAAGTGGGGAGCTGGCTGCAGCCTCTGGCAAATTCAGTGATGACTTTGATGAATTTCTTGATGCTGGTATTGAAATGGCTGGCCAAGCACAAGTAAGTTCTTGATCATGCTAATTGAGGGATTATCTTGGCCATAGCCTCTGGCAGTGAAGTCCATTGTTTATGTAGCACCCCATGCTGGTGTGTGAGGAGATGCTTGTTGTGAGGGAGTAATCTGGAGCTAGTTATCTGGAAAGAAGGGAATTCAGCATTTGCATCTTCCACAGGATGTTGGGATTTGTTTCTGTGTCCAGTCAGAGATACAATTTTGTACTCCTCTGTGTTTGAGCTGCCAAGGTACAAAGGTGTGCTGAACCTCTGAGCTTGTGAAAGGGTGGCTTCTGTTTTGGTGGAACTACCATGGATTATAATTTAAGTGAAAGCTGTTCGAAGTGTAGCACCTTTCTTTGGCACTTTTGAAGTGGTTTTAAGTAGATGGAGGAAAAGGTGCTTTGATATTGCTGCATGATGCTGTGCACCTGCTACAGAGTGGAGCAAACACTTGGAGAGAGCTGCCTAAAATACCATCCTCAGATCTGACAGCAAGCACTTGGACTTGTGTTCAGTGATTTAAAATCTGGCAGAGTTCTACTCTGATGAACTCCTAACAATCAGGAATGTTGTCACGTGTTGCTGAGCTCATTCCTGGTATTTGGAGATACCACCTTCAGTTTATCTTACTGGATACAGTTGTGCTGAGCTGCAGTAATTGGTTATTTGGCAATGATTTAGCATTAAAAAATGTCAGCATATAATAAGGAATTGTGTATCAGAAGAGCTGGGAGGACTTGCAGAAAAAAGCATCAGCAGATGGTTTTGCCCTGGTTAGTAGGAGGACCCTGCAAATCTAAGAAATGATTGCCACTGGAAAATGGCCAGAAGGTCTTGAGTGTCAGTCCTTTCAAGTCTTTTATGAAATGTCTCTGTAGAGCAGATAGTTTGTAGACAGAAGTGAATAGAGAGATGTGGCAGTGGTTGGTGGTTATTCTCCATCACAATTCATCATTCAGGTTCAGATGTGTGAAGTGAGTTAGGCTCCATATCCACATGACTCTTTCAAAGTGAGTAGTAGTGAGGTGCCTGACTGTCTCTTTAGCTGTGGACCACATTAGAATATTTTGTTTGAGGCAATTCAATGAAGGCAAGGGTAGAAATGATACTGCAAAGGCTGACTGCTTGAAATGACAATCCAGCTGCTGCTGACCTTGTGGCCCTTGTGAATTTTCTTATCCTGCTGACACAGGAGATGGTAACCATCTTAGTCATTAATGGCTGATCTTTCAGAGGAGAAGGCTTCCTGTTTGTAGTTATTTGGCCTGAACAGAAGCAATACCAGGTATTTTGGGTGACAAGCAAAATATGGGGGTAGGAAGGAAGCTGAATGTAGTAAATACAGAGAAAAGCTATTCATATCAGATGAATAATATGCAAGCTCTTTACATAAAACTATGAACAGACTGCTAGAAAAAATGGCTTCACTTCTACTGATCACTGGCAGAAGAGTCTAGTCACAGCTGTTTGCTGTGAAGATGCAATACTTTTCTGTAACTGTATATAATTACAGATTTCCTTTTTCAAGCAATGGCTTAAAATAAGTAATAGAACATCCAAGTCAGAATGTCGACTGAAGTAGGCTTATAGAAACTTAACTTTTAACTTTCTGGAGGATATTTTTGTGTGAGCAATCCCAGTTAGAGATGCTTGAGAGCCTGCAGGCTGCACAAAGGATGCCAGAATACAGAGAGCATACACTGACTGGATAATGTGAAGCAGTTGTGCCAGGCAGAGACACGTAAGAGTCTTCACAACAAAAGCATTGTTCAACAAGTAGTGAAGTTCCTCCATTGCTCATTTGTGAGTACTACCATTATTAGAAGCCAAGCTATTTGTTGTGAGGGTCTTTTTCTGTTATGTGAGTGAAGGTAAAGGCACCTGTCTGGGTGAACAGAGGCTTGAGCCATCTCTGAGCTCATGTATGTCAGTGGTTTCAGGTGAATAAACAAGTGGGATTTCCATGTGTGGTTTTAGCACACTCTCTTGATGGCTAATTTTGTACTTAATGTTATGCTGCTGTGGCCTTCCAGACTAAAGAGGACCAGATTCAAGTCATAGGTAACCTCAAGAGCATTTCTATGGCTTCCAGCAAGCTGTTACTGGCTGCCAAGTCTCTGTCTGTTGATCCTGGAGCTCCTAATGCCAAGAACCTCTTAGCAGCAGCAGCAAGGTAAGAATGTGTTGTTTGCTTTTTTTCCTGGGATATTTGCTTTTCTCTGTGGGATTTGTCTTGTGCTTATATATTCTGCTACTGACAGGTAAGTGAGTAGTTGGAACCTGTAGTTTTGTTTAAATTGAAGTAGGCCAGAGGAGAGTTACTTATTTTGGAGTAGTTCCTCAGCTGGTATAACTTGTTACCCTTGGTGGAAATAGGAACCAGCATTCGAAGACTTGACCTGGTTTTTGAAAGGAATCAGTGTATTACATGCTGTTTTCTCACCATCTGTGTTCTGACAAGGCAGTAGCTAACATTAAGCCTCTCAATCCCTGAAAGAAAAGGAATTGAATAATATTCTTAAATTAAATGTGCTTAAAAATTGTAGCTACCTATCACTAAGTGTGCATATGTGTATGATCAGGAATGCTTGAAGGGGTCAGATGCTATATTTCTGCAGTGGAGCATACCCTTACTTTAAAGATTATAAATCCACTCCCTCAGTAAAGGGCTTCCTTAAGAGCTTAGGCAACTTTACTTCATTGTGTTTTGTTTAAAAAAAATTACATCTGTCTTGTCTCCCTGGAAATAAATGGCATCTATGAAAAGTATAGATAACCAAAAACAGGCTGCTTAAAAGTCAAGGAGTCACACGAAACTTTGTTGCTACTGCAGCATCAAACTGCTCAGGATTTCTGCTTTAGGCTTGGAGCATTCCTGATGGGAGTGTAGAGGAATTTCACCCCAGTGAAATCCAGGCAGTTGTAAGCTCCTGCCAGGTTGGTGTTCCCTCTGTGTAGAAAAAGGGAGGTGAGCCTGGTTGAGCCTTTAGCTGTTCTCTGTGTGTGCATGTGTGAGACCTTACACAGATACCATAGAGCTCTGTGGAGTAAATACTGCACCAGATCTCAGTTTGTGTTTAAGGTGCTAAGGAGATGCTGGACTTCCCTTCTCACATCTCTGATCTGGCTTGTGACAAGCTTGCCAGGGCTCTCTTCTCTTTCCCTGCTATGGTACATTCAGGGTCAAATATTTTTACTTTCTCTTCTGATGAAAATGAAAAAAGAGGCACAGCTTCCTTATTACAAAGTAACTTTCGTTCTCATTTTTCTCTCATCTATGGTACTGTGATTTGCCTGGGGCTTTTGTTGTTTGTTTTACTTTCTTCCACATTAGCACCAGCTGCAAGAGCCATTTCAACTTTTTCAGTAGCTTTGTCTTCCTTGTGGAGGCATTTTTCTTGACCACCTCTGACAGGACTGCAGCACTGGCTGAGTTTCCTGCAGAGTCCAAATATTTGTGTGTTGTATTTGATAAAAACAGATGTGGCCTTCAGAGTCCTAGCAGCCCTCTTCCACTCTGGGATTGATGTTTGAGGGCCCACCTTCCTGGTTATACTGTGTCCAAATGGTTTTCAGAGTAATGTTTGTACACTGGATAGATGCCTGGGGGAGAGGTACCTGGTGTGTAATAATGATATGTGTGAAACCATGTGGCCTTCTCTACAAAGCTGATAATTCTCTCTCTTCAATTCTGATATTCTCTGAGTCAGTATGAATTGTGTCTCAGATTAAAATCAACAACAGAAAAGATAGTTTTGTGCTAAGTTTCTCTGGGAGTGAACAGAACTCTCAGTTTTTGTCATATATTACTGTGTCTGTATGCAATATATTTCTGATGCATAGAAATCACTGATGTTCAGCAGGTGAACACCAGATATTCCACAAGGATACCAAAATTGCTGGGAAGGGTGGGAGTCTCAGTTAAAAAACTTTGTCTATTCGTTTCCATCCTTTTTGCCTGGAATTTAACCTAAATATGTTAAATGTAACAAGGACATCCTGTTTCCTTTTCTAACAGTAGGATACCATCCATCCAAGTAATGATGTTATTGATACTTATCGAGTGCCTGTTTTCAAAAGGGAAAGTTATGCAAATGCCATTCAGCTTCCAAGGCTGGAGGAAAGCATATTCCCCATGTACTCCAATTTCACTGATTTTCTCTTCTTCTAGATGCCACTTTGATGGGTTGTTAGTCATGAGTCTAAAATGAATGTAGTTATAATGAATTTTACCTATTATCAGAGCATTGATCAGAAAGACAGGGACTGTTTTATGTCAGGTTCAGCCTATGTCCAAGAGCTCCCATAGGAACATAATAAGTTATTAGTTAAAGAGCAAAAAAAATTTGCTAAGAGGCAATAGAGATCTAGATCAGGATTGTGTTTATGTGTGTGTATTACAGACAAGACACAAGACTTTGCTAGAGAAAGGTAAATAACATTTCTTTTACTTTCAACTATTGTTTTCCATACCAAATCCTTGTTTCTGTATCCTTTAGGCCTTCTGGAGTTGAGAAATTATTCAGTTAATGTTAGACCTGGAGAAGTGCTGAAATACCTTTTAGCAGTTGCACTATGTCACTGTGCCAATGTAATATGTTGGCCTTGGCCTGCTGCCAGATGGTTTTCTGTCCTTTGTCACCAGTGCTTTCCCAGAGGTGCCACTGGTTTGGCTGCTGGGCTCAGCCATGTAGTAGAAGATCCAAGTTTTATATCTTTATGCAGTTTACCGTTAATGACAAAAGTTTTTGTACGAGGAATAACTCTTAGAGGTTCAACTTTAAAATCCACCTTTTTTTCTTCTTATTCTCCCCAGAGCTGTGACTGAGAGTATAAACCAACTCATCACACTGTGCACCCAACAAGCTCCTGGGCAGAAGGAATGTGATAATGCACTCAGAGAACTGGAGGTATTGTTATATTTCAAAAGTTCTTATAAATAAAAGTGAGCCTCCCATGTTTGTTTCCCTTGTATTCTTTGTCTGAATAGCTCCTGTTACTGTCTTCTCATTTGATATCTATGGCAGGGGTTTTAACTGTGTACAAGGTGAGCATGGAACCCATGTAAATATCTTGTAGGTTTGGCCAGAATAAAATTTGCTACCCTGTTCCCATCTCATTTCCTGCCCTCCAAAGATACAATTTAGTCCCTATTATTGGTACTTACTGTTACTTAAGGAAGAATCATGCAATGTTAGTGAGAACTGACTGACAGAAGAGACAACTGGAAATTGCTTTCTAGACAGCACATCTTCCCCTTCTTCTCTTTCTAAATTGCTATAAGATTTTAAGACAAACTTTTACAAAGCAATAGCTGAGCTGTTAAAAATACTGTACGTATTAGAAGTTAGAAGTTGTGTTATGAGAAAAGTCCAAGTGTTTAAAATCGTGCCTTGATTTCCTGTAGGTGGAAAGCAGATGTTAGATACAATGCTAGTATCTTTCTATACTTAATTGATTTCACTTTCATCAGAAGGATTAAAAGTTTTTTCTGCATTATATTTGGCAGTAAAATAGTGTTCCTTAAAACTTGAACAAAGGTATGCTACAGATAACTTTATGTATAAAAGAATTCGTTTCCTGAATTTGGTGGCTTTTTACAAGTTTTGTTATCTAATTGCATTCATTCTTCTCAATGACTATGTGACTGATTTGTCACATTGTTATTTTCAGGACTCAGAATCACCTCAGAAAAAGAAATTAAACCAACTATATGTAGTTTCCTGACAAAAATTTTTCCTGTGTTGGGAGAATCTGTTGGCACTGTAAGATGCAGGCAGGTGGTGGATGTGTAGTCAGTTCAGTAACCTTTTGTGTTTCCAGACAGTCCTCAAAAAATGGCAGCTGTTCTTCTCTTCTTATCACTCCTTTAAATTTGTGGTTTGCTGCATGGCACACCCTCAGGGAGTGTGTAACTTTGGCTGCCTGCTGGAGACAAACGTGCAGGATTACACTGGGACGAGCAGGATAGGTGTGATGGTCTGTGTTCTTCTCAGCTCAGGATTTCAGACTGCCAATAATCAATTTCTTTGATTATTTCAGACAGTTAAGGGAATGCTGGATAACCCAAACGAACCTGTGAGCGATCTCTCATATTTTGATTGTATTGAGGGCGTAATGGAAAACTCCAAGGTAATTTCTTTTTCCCACCTCTGTGCCAGTTATAAAGTGTGTTTGGATTTTCAGAAGTTTTCACATGCATATTGATTGTTAGAGTTGCAGTCAGTGCTTATAGCTAAAATGTCTGCTACACTCCTTGATAAACTCTGCCTGAGATAGGTCTCCTACAGATAATTTCAGGTTTTGGTCACTTAGAAGGTATATTGCCTCAGTAAGAAATTTTTAATTAAATGACTGGTACACAATGCTCTGAAAGCTTCTCCTCTCCTGTGCTAGACAGCATGTCATACTTTGGGGTGCTGTATTTTGACTGCAGATATGTTAGAATGGCCCAAAGCATGAATGGCAGGGCTTGACAATGAAATCTCATTGTATTGTTCTGTGCAGAGCAGCTTTGCCAAATGTCTGAGCAGTCCAGACACCCCAGCACATCAGAAAACCTGTGGGAAACATCTTCAGTTATTTTTAATCAAACTGTGCTGTACATCTTTCTTTGAAGCTGGCTTTTGGTGTCATTATTTGATGTGTTGGAATTGTCTCATGTTCCTTCTTCTCTAAAAGATAAAGAAAGTACCTAATGGATGTGTGTCTCATCTTGCATCTAATGCTCTACTGCAGTCAGAGTTCATTTTGAATTTTAAAGCTGAGTGAACTGAATTCAATGGGACATAATGTGGGAATTCATGTGCATTCTGACACTAAGGTGGTTCCAGAAGTCTAGGTGCAGTTTCATTGCCACCGAGCTTCAGTGGGTTTGGTTACAAAGATGATCCTGTATGTGTCAGCAGCATCTGCAGGATTGGCTGTCATGTTCTGCACTCTGTGAAATGCACCTAGTGCCAGGTTAGCTGTGATGACAAAGGGATGACAGCAAAATTAATTAATTAAGTTAGTTAAATTGTACCCTTTTAGTCATTTGAGCTGCAGTAGTGCTTATGTTCCCTGTCAGTCCAGTGTTGGTGTACATGCCTGACCCCTCACACCACACAGAGCAATGTGCCCAGTTCAGTGAAGTCTAAAACTTGTGGAAGCCAAGTCCAGGGGGTCTGTGGGCCAAAATTGGTTTCAGGCCAGCAACTGCTTGTCTCTAAATGGTATAAAAGGGATGCATATATAGAAGATAACTTTGTTTTTTAATTTCTGAGGTTCTTGGAGAATCAATGGCAGGCATTTCCCAGAATGCAAAAACTGGGGATCTTTTAGTCTTTGGAGAATGTGTTGGAGTTGCATCCAAGGCTCTTTGTGGCCTCACAGAGGCAGCAGCTCAGGTAAGAGAATGAAGGCTATAAAGCAATTAAGTTTTTTAAATTTTTTTAGCAAGCTTATGTTCTGGGTTTGTAAATCTGAAATTCACTTCCCTGTGGTCAAGCAAGTGATGACTTTGTATTATACAGTGTTCTCTGTGTAGACCCACAGATACTGTGTAAACTACAGGAGGAGCAGAGTGCAATAACTTGTGTATTTTCTAAGGAAGGTAAATGACATCTAGAAGGAAGCTTTGCTGAGGATAAAGCAAAACTCTGCAGCATGTGGAATTCATGTTTGCAGCCCCAGCTCAGACCTATTATATCATAGAAAAATGCACAAACAAGTCACAGTTAGAAGTAATTTTAGTTTGTAAAAGTTCTTAAGGAGCACTACAAATTTCAGACATTGGAACTAATAAGGAACCTGTTCAGAGACTAATAAGAAAGCTGTTCAGATACTTTTGGAATAACCAAAATTCTTAAGCTGCTACAACAAATTAGGGTCTGGTCTCTGTGATTTCACTGATCTGATAGCTGAGTGAACTATGAAGAGCTGATAAAGCCATCTTGGTGAAGGATTTGGCTATGGGGGATTGTGCTCTGCATCTGAAAACTTCTTTGTGATTTCCCCAAATGTGTAATGCCTTGGTATGGACTAAATCTCTTCCACATCTAACTCTGAGTTGCCTTACTGGCATATTAAGGTGACAGATAATTTATCTGTAATAGATAAGAGGAATCTTCATGATTGTGACAGTTCAGATAAGTTGTGGTTGTTGAGAGTCATGAAACTTGTAACTGAGAGAGGAGGTAAACTTACCAGAGATCCTGGACAGATTTGGCATGATTTATTAGGATTGTTTTCTTCTTTTCCCCATCTCTAGGCTGCTTACCTGGTCGGTATCTCAGATCCCAACAGCCAGGCTGGTCAGCAGGGCCTCGTTGACCCAATTCAGTTTGCCCGTGCCAACCAGGCGATCCAGATGGCCTGTCAGAACCTGGTGGATCCAGCGAGCAGCCCGTCCCAGGTGACTGCACAGGATGGCAGGGACACCATCCCTGCTAGGACACGGGACCTGGCTTTGTTCCTGTCCACTCCAAGGCATCTTGGTTTGACTCTTGCCTGGCCTTGGATGCTGATGTTGCAGAGCTGCAGCGTGGTTCCTGTCCCAGCCCTCTGACACTGTGCCTGTTCTGTGCTGGTTTTTACAGGTCTTATCAGCTGCCACCATTGTGGCCAAGCACACGTCTGCTCTGTGCAACGCTTGTCGCATTGCCTCTTCAAAAACTGCAAATCCTGTTGCCAAGAGACACTTTGTGCAGTCTGCCAAGGAAGTTGCAAATAGCACTGCTAACCTGGTTAAAACTATCAAGGTACAAATGCTGCTCAATTGTGCTTTCTTTTTCCTTTGTTGTTTTAGGGGGTTTACTTTTTTGCTTTTTTCCCCCCATTGAGACAGAATCACAACAGTTAGGAACATATTTTTATCTTCTTGGATATGCATGGTTTAAAAATATCACTAATTAAATTTTTGAAGATCTAAATTGGAAAACAGTGGTGTAACTGCTGAATTCAAGCTGAAAAGAACTGGGAGGTTTAATATTAGCAGAGGCAGCTGGCCCATCCAGCATGAGACTCCTCAGGACTGATGTATTTAATGAGCTTGCACCGTAAGAATAATCTGCAAGCAAGTGAATATGAAGGTGTTTAATGGTGTAAAGTTCCCCAGTATATGGAGATTTTTTTGAGCTATTTCTGATAATTTTACCTTATCTATAGGATAAAAAAAAAGAAATAAATAATACTGGGAACCAACAGAAGCCATTTATGCTTCTAGTAGTCTCCTGTTAATAATAACCTTTTATTTTCCAGATTCCTGCTAGCAGTTTGATAGGGGGTAGGTTTTTTCCATGCAAGCAGAAATAGTACTTGTGAAGCCATGGAGAATTCACAATTCTGAACCCTTCTGGAAGCCATTAACTGATCTAATCTGATTTCATTAGCTGAAATGTTTATTCTGTGATTGTGAGAGAGATCAGTTGACTTGGGTGAAAATCGGAGCAATATATTACTAGTTTGCTTAAAAGAAATAACTAAAAAATTTCAAGATGTGTCAGTAGGAAACAACCACCTTCACAAAACACAGCAATGTGAGAGTTAGCCCCTTCCACCCTTTGGAGTGTGGGGTCCTGGGACACTTGAGACACTTGAGTCCCATCAGGGAGAGACTTGGGAGACTCATCAGAGATCAATGACAGCAAACCTGCAGCAGTTTAAAGTTTAGGGTCAGTGACCAGCTGAGGAAAGAAACACACATCTAAAAGATCACATTCTTTGCAGCACCCTTGTTTGTGGAGGAGCTTTCAAATATTGTCAACACACAGCAGTTTAAAACTAGGAAGATTTGAGCCATTTTCCTTCAATTTTGCTAAAGAAACCCATTCAGACAGAGCTGAATCCTGATTTCATTTCCAGGCCCTGGATGGAGATTTCTCTGAGGAGAACCGCAACAAGTGCAGAATTGCCACTGCACCTTTAATAGAGGCTGTGGAAAATTTAACAGCATTTGCTTCAAACCCAGAATTTGTCAGTATCCCAGCACAGATCAGCACTGAGGTAAGGCAGGATACTGCATTTCCATCCTTCAAAAGTTGAAAATACCGAATTAATCACATATTGGAGAGAGTGAGTGTAAAGACCCCAGAGTATTTCCTTGGGTTTCTGGGTGTTCACAGGGCATTCTGCTTTCTTTTGTTTGACCTCTGACCTTGACTTTTCTACCAGTAGGATGCACAGTTTGGCTACATTAAGTGCTGCAAGTCTGCTGTTAGCAAAACCATACAGCACCAATGATTTGCATGTTTTAGTAGCTGGATTCTTCCATGCAATACAATAGTAAATATCCCCTTTGTTTTCTCTCAAGAGCAGTTTTAACCAATGGAACCTAGTTAGTTCTGAAAAGAATCGAAGGGATGTTGCTGGGTTTTTTCCTTTTTGCCCACAAGTTCTCCAGCCTCATACTGTGTAACTAAGCAGAGTAGAATGTGAAGAGACTAATAAAGGATCCGTTGGGTTTGTGGGTTTTTTTCACAGGGAAAAGATATAAAAAAGCAAACCCCTTAAGCTTTGTAAAAGCTTTGGAGTAGAAGTCATGTGTCGTTACTGGCCCTCCAAGGGTGGCTTCCTGCTTTTGTCAGGCTCTGATCCAGATGGCAATATCAGATGATGCAGTAGCTGTTGCAGTCTAACAGCTGTGGGGCTGTAGCTGAAATCTGTGTGTCCTCCAGGTCTGTGGTACCTGGGGTTATCAGATTATTTGCAATAAAATAGATACACGGATGATAACCCAGTCAGGAGTCATCAGTCATCTCTTGGAATTAGTAGTCTGACTGGGGAAAGGGCACATCTGTTGATGACAACCATTTTTGTGATGAAGTGTATTTTCAGTGATATTTCTGTAGTCTGCAACTAGACAATTGTCATTGTTTCTCTTGTATCTCAGCTGGAAAATGCATTTCTTAACTTGAGACATGTTTCTTAAGTATGTTTCAGAGAAAGCTGTTGGACCGATTATTTTTGTTCTATTTCTGTGTTGATTATCTGTGAATATAATAGACCAATGGAGGAAATTATAGTTCCATTTTAGTGCTGTTCATTAGACTTTTAGGAGCAGAAAGTGTAGATGAAGTCGAATAATAATTTAAATGTTCTTTTTGTTCTTATACCTTCCTGACCACAGGGATCACGAGCACAGGAGCCAATTCTGGTTTCTGCTAAGACAATGTTGGAGAGCTCATCTTTACTGATCAAAACTGCTCGTTCTCTGGCTATCAATCCCAAAGACCCTCCTACATGGTCTGTACTAGCAGGGCATTCCCACACAGTCTCAGATTCTATCAAGAGTCTTATTACCTCTATCAGGTATGTCTTTTGTAGTAGCTGAGCAACTGTTCATAAAGAACAATGCCATATGGCCATTAGCACTGTTATTTTTGACTGATGGAAATTACTCTGTGATGCACAATATCTCCCCAGTTACAGTGGATATTTAATCATAATTGATGACTGCAGCACCCTGCAGCACAGCAGGGCTGTTCTGTATTTCTATTCTGTTCTCCTTCTTTGGTTCCATCCCCAATTCACTGGAAGGTAAATGTAATAAAGAACACTGTAGAAAATGAACACTAGCTAATATTACCTCCGTGTAGATCATGTAGCAACATGCAATACGTGGGAAATTAGCTTTTCTTATTATATATTTTTTAAGTGGGTCCGTGTGCATTCAGAAAAAAAAACAGAAAAACCCTGCTGCTTGCCACCATGCTCAGTTTAGGGTCTCTGTCTTGCAGGGACAAGGCCCCAGGGCAGCGAGAATGTGATTTCTCCATCGATGGGATCAACAGATGCATCAGGGACATCGAGCAGGCCTCGCTGGCTGCTGTCAGCCAGAGCCTGGCCACCAGGGATGACATCTCCGTGGAGGTGAGGCAGAGAGCACAGGCACGAACAGAGGAGTGCTGGACACTCAACCACAGCACAGTCCTCTGCCAGTGGGGGAAGAAGTGTCCTTACTGGGATCTTTCTAGACAAAGTCAGACCAAAGTCTATCACTTCTTCCAAGATCCCAGAATCACCAGGGACTAGTAGGGTGAAAGTAGTTATTTTTTACTGCTACCCACATATTACTCTGACTTCCTGTGCTGATATGACAGACTGACAGTTTTTGTGGTGCCTTGCCATGTGGAAGCCAGGATTAGTTTCTGAAGGTTCATAATATATTTTTTCTGAAGCTAGTCTACTACTAGAAACATAACGATGTAAATGTCAATGTTCTTTTTTCTTAATGCCTAGTTTGTCCTTTAATAAGTGAAATTTCATGTTGATATATTCACTTTAAGAAAGCTTCCTTTTCTGCTCTTTAACGTGTCTCAACTCACGTTATCTCAATCTCACGTTGAGATTTTCATCTTGGTATTTAAGTCTTTTCATACTTTTGCTTCTTGAAATTACGGTTTTATTGGAGTGGTTTCTTCAAACTGTAACACTGCATACTAGAAACATGTCAGAACAAATGAAACTGTGCAAAACAAGTCATTGCAGGAAATATGTCATAATTCATTTTAATTGAAATGATGAAGTTATCTTGTTCACCGTGTTGAACTGAAATAAATGTTACCAAAAATGGCAGTTATTTATAAAGCGGTCAAGGAATGTAACAAAGGGCCAAAATAATGTTTTTTTCTCTTGCTTATCATGAGAGTGACCTTAATCTTGATTGCTGCCAAGATCTCAAGGGCCTCTGAATTAAAAGCCAATATTTATGTCTTGACCAGGCCATTAATATGTTTTTAATATGTTTACTCCTGTCCTGCAGGTTGTATTCAGGGGTTCAATCCTCATTCATCTCTGTCCTTCAGAGATGTGAAATTTTTTTTTGCCAGTGGATTTCTCTTGCTAGCTTCAAAATCTGTGGCAGAGTTTTTTGTTCTTGCACTGTATTTTCTGCTTTGAAAAATGTTTCTTCACACTTAAATCAGTGTTCCTGACAGTGTTCTGATTGCTGCAGTGATACTCAATCTTTGTGAGGGTAAAAATAGCTTGGGAGGTGTCAGGGGGCCTTGATCACATTGCAGTGAGAAAGGACACCTAGCCCAGAGTTTGCTACTGCCAGCACTCTCTCCCCAGATTTGTCATAGAAACCTGAGAGGAGCAGGCCCATCTCAGGGTTGCTGTTGTTGAAAGAGGGTAAGGGAGAAGAAATGATCCGGTATGTGAGGAAAAGGAGTAGTGTGGATTTCTGCATTCTGCCATAGTGTGGGTCATTTGAAGTTTGAGGATGTTGGCTTGGATGTGGGATGTCTGAGGGTGATTGTCAAGTGTGGCACAACTGGATAAGAGAAGAGCTGTGGTAGCAACTGACAATTTCTTTCTTTTAGGCTCTACAGGAACAGCTGACATCAGTTGTACAGGAAATTGGCCACCTCATTGATCCCATAGCCACTGCAGCTCGGGGAGAGGCAGCTCAGCTGGGCCACAAGGTACTCCCCTGCCATGACCAAGGCATTTGAAGTCTTGGAAGCTGAATGTTAGGGAGGACCCCAATTTCATAGCAGTTTCTCTTCCTATGAGAGAGCAAAAGAACATATTTGTAAGGAGAAAAAATACGGAGTTTTCAAATTCTTGGAGCCAAGACCAAATAAACTTTTTTACATTTTGGGCCAGAGGAAAGATACTCTTATTGAGGTTTTTGGGTAAGGGCTTTGTGTAGATGTCTTCCTCTGTTATATGGAGTGTAAGTAGAGTCAGATGCATGCTTATAAAATGTCTGTCAAAAAAACCCAAATGTTAGAATGCATGTTCTAAAAGCATATTTACCATGGTTATTGCAAGATTTAGGAGTTTCTCACATAGCAACTTCTCATCCTGTATATTCTTGAGAGTAAAATCTGTAGAGGCAACAAATATTGAGAGGTTTCTGCCTTGCCCAGAGGAGATGCTTTTCAGGGATGCTGTTGAGTAGCATGGGGTGTTGTGTGTCAGTCTTGAACAGTTACATGGAACCTCAAGGGACCCTGTGCTTCTGGAGGAGGAGACCTGTGGCTCTGCAAAGGAGTTGGGCAGTGAGGGGAGACAATCCCTGGGCACATGATCCAAACCCAGCACTGTACAGTGCAGCAGCCTTGTGCTCCCTGAGCTAACCCACATCCCAGTGGGCAAGAGGGAATGTGTTTTCTCAGTTCCACCTGACAAGTGTGGTTAATGGCTTCCTGGGGTTGTTCTGCCTTTCTTAGGTAACACAGCTGGCAAGTTACTTCGAGCCCCTTGTTTCAGCTGCAGTTGGTTTGGCATCCAAGACACTGAATCATCAGCAACAGATGACTGTGTTGGACCAGAGCAAGACTCTAGCAGAATCTGCCTTACAGATACTGTATGCTGCCAAAGAAGGGGGAGGAAACCCCAAGGTAAGGTGATTGATTGTGTGGCATTAAGGGTGAGAGAAGAAGGCTTGCTGTACACTCAAGGGATATGTTTGCAGTCCAAGTGCCAGTGCCAGCTCTCCTGATGTCTCCTGAGAGTGGAAAAAATTCTCCAAGACAGGATTCCAGTCTTCTCACAGCATCCTCTCAGGGGTCACAAAGTCAGGGTATGACAGCAGCTATCGAGGCTCTCAGAGAAAGCAAATGGTTAAAAAACAAGGCTTGTCTGGTGCATGGCCCAATGGGATGGGGACCCTTGCCAGGAAAGAGCAGCAGCACACAACTGTTCATAACTCAGGTGCCATTTGTGCCTTACAGAGAGCTGCCATCTTTAGAGGACATTTAAAAAGACTATGGCACCTGAGGCTGAAAGTGTCATGTGCCATGGCTCCTTGTAGGAGTTAACAAATTTTGTTCTGTCCACTTTGCTGAAGTGTTTTACTTGGCATCTTTGCCCAGAAGTGTTTTTTTCAGTGCCTTTACTGTTTTAATTTCTTATGCTTCTGATTCACACATTGTTTTGCAGAGAGAACATTCTCTGACTATCTTGGTTTTCTCATTCTGTGTTCTCCAGGCATCTCATACTCATGATGCCATCACTGAGGCTGCACAGCTGATGAAAGAGGCTGTGGATGACATCATGGTCACTTTAAATGAAGCTGCAAGTGAAGTTGGTATGGTTGGAGGTATGGTAGACTTGATTGCAGAGGCAATGACCAAGGTGAGCATAGAATTTGACTCCTTTCTCACTTTATGCTTGGAAGCTGATCCATGTTGCAGAGCTTTGGGCAAACTGGTACTGTTTCAGTGGTCAGTCATGAAATGTTGTCACAGGAAACCTGAAGGTTATTTGATTTTGCATATTGTGAAATAAAACTGATGTGGGCCATGGTGCTCATGTTTATAACCTACATGGTACGTGTTAGTTTATTTCCTACAAAATAGTTTGTTCAGTAATATTCTGGCATTTAACTGTCATCTTAGGTCAAGAAGATGACCTAAGAAAAGTCATCTTTTTTCCCCTTATCTTTCACATTAGTCTCTTAAATGAGCAGCAGGCCAACCTTGAAGCAAGTTACTTTCAGAGAAGATCTCAAAACCTGAAACACTTTGCCATACTTTGTAATGCATTCTACTGAGGATGTATAGTTGCAAAGTGTACAAGTTCAAGCCAAATATTTGGCTCTTCCTATATTGACTTAGAGATTGAAGACTTTAGTACATAAAGAGATCTTACATTATCTTCTGACATGAACATTTTGATTTGTCATTGTTGCACCTTCCTTTATTGGCAGATTGTTTGACCTTATGTGAGAAGCAAACCTCATGCTCAAAAACTCTGCACTGTACATTCCATAACCTGGGCTCATAACCTGGGCTCAAGTATTTGCTGAGCTTCTCTGTACATCCTGGTGCACTATTTTCACTTGTGTCTCTTGAGAGAGAAGAGATCATAGAATTGAATATTTTACTATTGCCTGTAAAGCATGCTGTTTATTGGGGCTTTTTAATGCTGTGTTTTTTCCTCTGTCTTGCAGCTGGATGAAGGTACACCTCCAGATCCAAAAGGAACTTTTGTTGATTATCAGACCACTGTGGTGAAATATTCTAAAGCCATTGCTGTTACAGCACAGGAAATGGTAAGAGATTACCTTAACAGGGTCCAAGCTCTGTGTACGTAAGGAATGTGGAATTATTTGCACACAGTTGAGACACTCTTGATCATCAGATTTTCAATAACCTTATCTCTTGTGGGGTACTGGAGCAAAAAGAGTGATGATTTTGTCAATTTAAGTCTTGCATCTTAGTGGTGTGATCATAGAGGGGTCCTCTACAGGAGGAGCACTGGATTGTATTGTGGCTGTTCTGCACAATGGCTCTTTATTTGGCTCATTTTCAAGTAGAAATAAAAGGAAAAACACATGCTTGCTCATCAGCCCATTTAACTGGGCTGAAATTCCACCTTTTGTTTATCAATGACTTCAGGATCTTCTTTCACACTTAGTGTTTGATGTAGCCAGTGAAGTAACATCAGTGTTTTCAGATCCCTGTAATGCTTAATGAATGAATGCAGGTCAATATCCCACACTGTCCTTTTCTTTCATTTCCATGTCTCACCTGGGTTTAAAAAAAGGAACTAGTGACACCTGTTGAATTGAGATTTTTCTTGACTTGTGTTTCACAGTAATGCATAATGTGTTTTCCCTTGGAACAGTACTGTGGTTTCTAATTTGTTGTTGAGAGACATGAGGTGACTGTTCATGAGTGCTACAGACAGGATTTTTTACAAAGTCGATTGTTCTTGCAGTCAAGACAGGTCCATGATTCTGCTATCTATGACAGCAGAAATTTGTCTAAAACTAGTTTTGTCCCAGGATGGATCTCCATTGCTTTTACTTAGTTTCTCTGTCTCAAATTAATTTATCTATGTTAAAAGGTAGGAATTTCCTAAGGAGAGATTCAGTTATACTGACATTCTACTAAGACATTCTATGTCATCCTGCCTATTTCTTCTCCATCCTTTTCCCTCATCTGAGATGTGTTTTGCATTGGTCCTCAGATTTTTTCCATTTCCGTGCTTCCACGTCTCAGCTGAGGCTGATGGGGATGAGCTCACCTTTGACAAAATAAGGTGGCTGGCACACAGACCCCACTTTCCACCCAAGTGTCAATAACTGTACCTGGCCAATGGCCCCTCTGTGTCCAAGAGTGAAGTATTGGCTCTAACTGCTGCTCTTTGATTCTTCCATTTGTGCAGCAACTGCCCAGTTGCCATGACTCTAATAAAGCATGTTTGCTTGAGTTTCCTCTGGAATTCTTGCTGGAGGACACGTCCCTTCCATGGCAAGCGGATTACCCCATTTTATCCGTGTGGACAAACAGATGAGTGTGCTTCTAATCTGGGGTGTATTAACAAGTTATTCTCATGCCTGTCCATTTTCTTTTTCTTTTGCTTGTGTTCTTTTTCCAGATGACTAAGTCGGTTACTAACCCGGAGGAGCTGGGAGGACTTGCATCGCAAATGACCAATGACTATGGGCATTTGGCTCTCCAGGGCCGAATGGCTGCAGCTACGGCAGAACCAGAGGAGGTCTGCAGCTTTTAGACCTCTTTATTCTCTCTACACGGTGGTGCTAACAAGGGTCTTCTTTTACTGTGAAGAACACAGTAAAGGAGACAAGCCTTGTTATAAGAATTGCCCAATCAAAGAACAGAAACCCTTTGTCAAAACCTGTCTGGCTTTAGAAAGAAACAGCTCAGGATAAAAGTGGATAATTCCATAGACCACAACAGAACCTCCTAAATTACTTGGGGTTTTCACTTACAGACAATCTGCAAATACAAAAAAAAAATCTTAAAACTCTTGTTACTATGCGGCTTTCCTTCAATCTTGCATGTTTTGACAAGTTACAAATATGTTTATGCTTTTTTCATCTTACCTCTAAGTGATTTTAAGTATAACTTCCTATCCTGAAAGTGGGATTCATGCAAGCAGTCAGAGCACAAGTATCTTTTGCTGAAGGACATCCTCCATAGCTCAGAGCTGGAATGTAGTGTGGGAGAAGCATCTTACTTGCCTTGTGCTAAGTGAGGGGATGGGCTGTTCACCTCAGTTGCATTAACCTGTTTGTGGAAGGTGCTGCATCTTCTCTGAGCATAACTGCACAGCTCTTTCACCCCTCTCTTCTCACTGGAGCATAGACAAACTTTGTCAAGATGGGATAAAAGGGTATTTCACTTCACTACATGTATCAGATTATCTACATGAAAGTCCTTTAAAGAGTTTTTGACCTTGTGCTTATTCATCCTGCTGATATACTTAAATGTTTTGTGTTCAGTAGCTACATGGAAAGCAATGGCTTGCACTTGGCATGATATTGTTAAATTGAATTACCATTTCTGCATGTTACTTTGTGCCTGAGGTTAAAATAATTCTGTTTGTGATACTAATGGCTGTGATTCCTGCTCATGTATTAATCCTAAATCCCACTGGAATGACAGCATACATGCAGGGACTACAGCTATCAAGTTTCAAATCAGGGACCACACATCTCGGAATGTAGGACTATTAATAAATTGGAAGTGGTAATAAGAGGGTTTTCCCCATTTCAGTGCTCCACATGGGTGTGATTGATTGCGGAGAGTGAAGACTGTGTAAGGCTCAAAGCCAAGCCAAGAGAATCACATACTCATATAATTTTGGACCCAGTGTCAGCAATGTACAACACCGTGTGCTTTTTACCTGTTGCACATACCTTGAGTACAGCTCACACTGACAGGGCAGTTCTGGATGATGAAGCAGCATTGTTTAAATGTGAAGTGGTGTGTGCTTGAATTATGTCCATTTGACTCAGGTACCTGCCTTACCCCTTCTCTTTCTTGGGCTCTGGGTCATTCCTGCCCTGTTTCATCAGAGAGCCTTTTATAGGGCTGTCCTTCATGTGTAGATGGAATCACATCTGTACTTTTTTTGTATCTTTGCAGTGGATATAGTGGTGGGTGGAATACAGTTATTCACCAGAGAGACAGTGTTTCCATTTCTCTTGACACAGTGTACCAGCATGACATTTATTTATTTGTTTTCTTCTTTCTTCCCTTTTCCCTGTGCCTTCTGTACCATCTAGATTGGGTTCCAGATCAGGACTCGGGTGCAGGAACTTGGCCATGGGTGTATCTTTCTTGTGCAAAAAGCTGGAGCTCTCCAGATTTGCCCTACAGACAGCTACACCAAAAAGGAGTTGATAGAATGTGCTCGTGCTGTCACAGAAAAGGTAAGACAGCTTTCCTTGTTACCCCATGGTGTTTGTCTACCCAGCTTCCACTGTGAGTCAAACTGGATTCAGGAAACGTTTTTTTTAACTTTATGTTGTAGTACAATAGTGTCTGAATTACCCAAAGGTATTACTTTTCTTTCAAGCTGTCAGTGTTCATGTGCTGGATTAATTCATGATTAATCCTTCCTCAGGCCTTGCAATAAAACTTCAACCTCCTGTCAGAGGGAGATTGGTCCAAAACAATATTCTGAGTTGTGAGATGGCTCTTGTGCCTTCTGAGGCACTCCCTGGCCACAGTTACTGTGAGGTCGGTCAGGGACATGTGGTTTCGTGTAGCAGAGTAACTGCCTAGAACTGCATCTTCAAACTCTGTGGGGTTTCTTGTTCCTTGGAAACAGCTCCGTCAAATAAATGGCCTGGGTAGTTTTATTGAATGTTTTTTATGGCATCTGTCTCCTTTTGCTGGACATGAACATTAAGAGTTGGTGCCAGTGGCTTTCAGATTTCACCAAATGCCATTGCTTCAGCCTGTGTTCATGTGCTCTCAGCTGTACCAGTTTCATGATGTATCCCAGGAGTAGTGACAATTGCAAATTTAGGCAGGGGGAGACAGTAAAGTCTTTGTAAGTAAAGTTAAAGCTGATAAAGAGAGTAGTAATGATTCACAGGACCAACTTTTTTCGATGACCACTGTGTTGCTTTTTGTTGTTTCTAGGTCTCCTTGGTTTTATCTGCCCTCCAGGCAGGGAACAAAGGCACACAAGCCTGTATTACTGCAGCCAGTGCTGTGTCTGGGATAATTGCAGATCTGGATACCACTATCATGTTTGCTACTGCTGGAACCCTTAATGCTGAGAACAATGAATCGTTTGCAGATCACAGGTCAGTGTTGCTGAACAAGATGGAAGAGTGAATGCCCAGGGGAACAGTGGAACTGGCAGAAGAGACTGGGACATGTTTTTGTGGATTCTTGTGCATGAAATTGAATGAGGCAGAGGGGAGTGAGAGGAGGAATAGGAAACCTGGGACTTGACTTGTCTGTGAACTGCATGCTCAAAATGATTTCTTCTTCTACCCAGATGTTGCTTTGGATTTGTTGTCCTGACATGTCAAAACATGGATATGGGTGGGAGGGGGGTGGGGAGCCCTGACCAGGACACACTCTCTGTTCCTGCTGCCATTCTTCCTTCTACCTTTCTTGCCCATGACTACTTTAGTTTTTCTTACAATAGGCTGATTAATGTGGATGTTCAACAGCTGGTACTTTTCTCACAGCATGGCTAGATTTTCTTGTAGTATTCAAATACAATTGCCCAATCTATTTCTTTTCAAGATGGGATCATTTTATTGCACTGCCCTGCATTTGCCCCGAATGCTCTGCTGCTGTTTATTAATAGTTGTTTTGGTGGGTTTTTTTGGTTTTTTTTTACTTAACACCCTTGACCTGTGTTATGTTATGAATGGACACTGGTATGATGATTTAGATCAACTCTTTTAGATCAGCTGTTAGTCACCATAACACTGGAAAACACTTTTTTTCTCTTTTCTCCTTTACCACTCCTTCCCTGTTTCCTCTTCTTTTGCTACAGGGAAAATATCCTGAAAACAGCAAAAGCTTTAGTTGAAGACACAAAATTGTTGGTTTCTGGTGCTGCCTCAAGTCAGGACAAATTAGCCCAAGCAGCTCAGTCATCAGCTAACACCATCACTCAGCTTGCTGAGGTAGTAAAATTGGGAGCAGCTAGCTTGGGATCTGATGATCCTGAAACACAGGTGAGATGTTTTAAGATTTTCTGATACTCTTACAGAGAGCAGTTTTCATTTGGTAGAACTTTGTATGACTTAGACTTTTAAGCAACACAATCTGGTTTGTCTCCTCTGGGACTTTCCTGGGTGTACTCAGACACCACTTGTTTAGAATACAGTCAAGAGTCAGGCCTTTGTGTAACTCTTCTGCTTTTATTTCACTGCTGTGTTCCAGCTGGGATGCTTCTGGCAAAGTATTTGGCTCATTAGTACTAACTTGTGATTGGGACTCTGGATCATCCCATTTTTGTTCTGAAGAGCTTGCAGGTCTTTAAAGCTGCTTATCCAGCTTATGTCTGGACTGTGCTCTGTATTATTTGTGTCAGCTGACAAACTCTTGCCATTTTTCACCTATATCTATCTTGTTTTTCAATTAACTCTACTTTTCCATGTGGATTGTCCCTAATAATTCTTCAGTTGTTTGTTTGGATCTCAGTGAAATGGAGGCAGGCAAGCATATTGCAGATGTTTGAAAAAAGGTAGATTTTTTTTTAGCTGTGTTCCAAAAATCACACCTTTTATTGCCTGAGCCTTATAGCTATTCCTCATTCCATAGGTTGTTCTGATCAATGCTATCAAGGATGTTGCAAAGGCTCTTTCTGATCTCATTGGTGCTACCAAAGGAGCTGCCAGCAAACCAGCAGATGATCCATCCATGTACCAGCTGAAAGGTGCTGCCAAGGTAAAACCTCTTTCTTAAGTTTTATTTCCAAGTGTCTGTGCAGTCACATTTGATAAACCTGTGGAACTTTGATTTCAGCAGTTTCTGATTGCCTGAAAACTCCTTTATTTGTTTAATTATCATGGTATCATGGACAACACAAGAGTTGGTATTTGTCCTGTAACAAGTAGAATTCATGAAGTGTCCTAGAAGTAACAGTGAAGTAACAATGCTTCTCAGCTTCATTTGCCTTGCTTCATACCCTGCCATCTCTGAAGGAGGAAGGGTTCACATGTTATTGTCTTCACTTCTCTCTTCTTCAGGTGATGGTAACAAATGTCACATCCCTCTTGAAGACTGTTAAAGCAGTAGAAGATGAAGCCACTCGAGGGACAAGAGCCCTTGAGGCCACAATTGAGTACATCAAACAGGAGCTCACGGTACACAACTCGATACTTGTAGTGGGTTTTGCAAGTACATCCTCATACCAGGCTGGGAGCAACTTCTTCCTTTTTCTTTAGACCTTAAGCTTTCAGTACAATGTTTTCTGATCTGATGCTGTTCACTTTTTTTTTTTTTTATCTTGGCTTTGGTAGTGTCTCCTCAGCTTCACTCTCATACTGTGTCTGCAGTTTAAACTTGTTTTATTTTTTTTCCCCTACTGTGAAATGTTCCTACCTGTGATGGCTTGCTATTGATGTTCTGTGTAAGCAGGAATTAATGATAGTGTGAAATCCTCTCCTAAATTAGATGTTATACTATGACAATTGTTTTCTTTCCTCTTTAAGACGTAAAAGTATAGTTAGGGGGAAAAGAAAAATATGTGATCAAAGTAAGGTTGTGCAGCTCTTGTTACCTGTATCTTCCCACAGTTCCTGTATTCCAAAATTCATGTATTGTCAGGTAATTTTCATATGATCCACCCTGCAAAATTATATCTTTAGGTTTCTAAGGGAGACTAAATACAGTCTCAGAGACAACGCTTCACTTTTGCTTTTTCAAGACACATTTGAATATTTTAGTGGTGATGTTATCAGTCTCTTGTGCTCTGTGCTATCAACATGTACTTGGTAGGGTCCAGTATTTGCAGGATCTCTTAATGTGAGTAGACCAGCCTAAACAGCAGTCAGAATGAGAAAAGAATATAATGAAAGAAACAGTAAATTTTTTCATCCAATAAGGCTCTGATCAGCTGCCTACAACTGTCATGTGGGTATTTAAATGCAGATGAAATGAATGGGTTAACCTTTTTTATTGTCCTCTTCCCTCAGCTTACTGTTTGTGTCTGGTGTCTGTAGGTGAGCATGCTTATCAGATCCAGGCCCATGACAAGCAGCAGTGATATCCAAGTACTCCAAATCTGTTTCCAATTTCCTGCTGCTCCAAGGCTGCTTCCGTTCGCTCTCTCTCTCTCATGGTTCTTCTGCTTTGGCTTGGCTGGTGTCAGACTTTCCTTCTGCTTTCACCTGTAGGTGTTTCAGTCGAGTGAGGTTCCAGAAAAGACCTCATCACCTGAAGAATCCATCCGGATGACGAAAGGGATCACCATGGCAACTGCCAAAGCTGTTGCAGCCGGCAACTCGTGCAGGCAGGAGGATGTGATTGCTACAGCAAATCTGAGCCGCAAGGCAGTGGCTGACATGCTAACAGCTTGTAAGGTAAAGATTCCCTTCCTTGCCTGAGATTGAGCTTTGTGTTTGTGTGCCTCTAAATCCACGGAATATTATCTATTTTGTTCCTTTTTCTGCTTTTCATATGAGGAAGTTAATGGGTAAGATAATTTTAAGGGAACCTCTCTCAGAAAGGATTTTTATTTTTTGTGCCATGCACACACAAAACCCCAGCATTAATATTCACTGTTGTCTTTCTGTGAAAATGAGGAATTATATTTGAGCTGAGATTTCCTGGTTTCCATTCAGAAAATTAACAATCTGTGCAAGTAGCAGAATATGCAAATATTCCTTTGGTCACAAATATAATTTCAATATTCCTCGAACAGTGAAAGGACTGGTGAAAGAAATCACTCTGATCTATCTCTAGTAGTTCTTTTCCCCCTGACTAAATCTATTTGTTTGCTTAATTTCATTTGTGCTTTTCAAAAATGTGTGCAATTTTTCTTGCAAAATTTTTATTAAAATAGCTGTAGCCTTATAAAAATAGTGTAGCTGTTATTTTCTACACAACATAAATGATTGTTAAGCCATTTGGCTTTGTTCTGATGATAAAAACATCCAGGCATAAGTGATTAAAAAATGGGATTATGAAGATTTCATTCCTTTTGATTTTCAGTAGTGACTGTAGTAGTAAACTGCCTTTGCCTGTAAATCATAGTTATTTACTTTTGCCTTTCCATCTATGGAAGGTGACAGTGAAATAATGGTGCTCTCTGTGGGTTGTCTGATTTTCAGTATTTGGTCAAATCCTAACTGCCTACATCAGTCCCAGATTGGTTTTTTTTGTTTTTTTTTTTTTGCCTAATACTGCCCAAACAGAAGCGTTATGTTTGTTTTAAAAATGATCCTCTTTCAAAAGTGTAAGTTCTAATTTACAACTGCCTTTATGCAAAACCACTGAATGAAACTTTTTATATTAAGTTAGTTTTCAGCAAGTGGTGCTTCTGCTCAATAAAAAAGTTCCCTGGAAGTTTATTGTAGAAAGAACAAGGCTTCAAGAGGCTGCAGGTTTCACTTTTTATTAAAAATAAAATCATTGAATTAGTCAGGCTTATGTCAGATGCCAGATATTACACTTGGTGGAAATCCTTACAAAGACCTGACTCTGCTGCAGCTTCTCTCTGTATTTAAACAGATGTTTCCAGCACTGCTCTTGCTGTGTAAATCCTGTCAAGCTAACCCCATTAATGAGCCTTTACAGGACTGGAGCTCTGCTGCTCTTCCAGCACCGTTTGCTTCCAAGAGAAATGGCTGGCCCTTAACTCAAATGTCATTTGCACACTATAAAAACATCTCCTCCCTACTCTTTCCCCCATCTCTCTGTGCTGATCTTCTCTTGTGGGAGCTATTTTGGATACTGATGTTGTTTTGCCTTCTCAGCAAGCATCCTATCACCCAGATGTGAGTGAAGAAGTTCGGGAGAGAGCCCTGCGCTTTGGAACAGAATGTACCCTGGGATACTTGGAACTCCTGGAGCATGTTCTCCTGGTAAGGAGTCACCTGCATGCATGTACTGGCTTGCTTCCAAGGACAGTCATCTCCCAGCCCTCTCTCTATAGTGACTGCTAGTGACACATTTTTATCAGTTTGTCACAAGATGATGAAGTTTTTTTGTTAGGGCAAGCTGAAGGAAACTCAGTACTTCAGCTCGAACTGTGAGACTGAAGGACTACTGGAGTTCTTAAATGGAGCTGCATTCTGAATCAGATCTGGTGGCAATTTGGATTTGAACCTCCAAAAGGTCCCTGGAAAGGAAATTAAAATAAGACATTTCAGTATTCTTTTAAGCCCACAACAAACACAAGATATAGTAGGCACAGGCCTGTTCCCCCAGACCACAGAGGATACATCATCTTTAGGAAGGAACTGTTACATGCCTCTCACAGCCACACCTACTCCAAGGCATCCCAAAATCCCTGCCAGTGCTACCTCACAGAGAACTATCCAACCCATCAGACATGGCATCCCCAAAGCTCTGCATAAAACTGCTGCACTCAAATCCAAACTCATGAGTCCTGCTGACAGTGAGCTTTGCTTGACCAGACATAATTATCACATAGTATATTGTTTATCCCATAATATTTGTTCTTCTGTTGCTATTGCTTTTGTGGGAAGCAATAAAATGTGTTTGAACTAGCATTAATGAGATATTGAAGTTTCTGGAGAAGACTTGAATAAGCAATCAGCTTCATGGATGACCAGCAATTTCTTTTAGGTGGCTCTCAGCTGACATCTTAAAGTTTCTGAAACTTAAGCTTTCAGCCACTAACTGCAGATTAGCAAACCCAAATCAGTTTTTCTGCTGAGAACACAGCATGTTCTCATTTACATCAACTCACTGAAATTTATATCTAAATTAAAAGTACAGTCACAGTTGTGCTTGTCACTAATAGGTAAAATAGTTCAAGAAAGTTGGAACTTGCTAATGGAATTCTTAGAGCTGTATTGCAGTAAGTGATTTAGCATTAGATGTCTGATCCATTTTTAGTTTAGAGAACTATGGGGAATTTTTCAGATTTGACCCCTAGAATGCTGGCAGTATGTGTTACAAACCGAGTGCCAGAATAGACCAAAAACTTGAATCAATTTTTGCTCATTTTATTTCTCTCTCTCTGCATAAGTCAAGAGTCTTTTTTACCTTAAGCCTCATTACATTCAGTGCCCTAAGGACATGAGCAAGTTCTGACCCCTTGTACACTCCCCTGCCCCTTCCCCAGCGTTGGCTGCCTTAGAAAACTGCAGTGGTTTAGAACCCCTAGGCCTGCAATCTCATTTAATTTATAACCTCCACATCATGTGGGATTAGGAATCTGCAATTGGTCCATCTGGCACCCTGTGATGCAGTTGTCAGTAAGTTCAGTTATACCCTCAGTGGTCAGCCTAGGAATGCTTGCATGGGTGCCTCAACACAGGGGTGCCCAGGGGTATTCAACAGCTGGATTACTATGAAAATGATACTTGTTAGGTGCAAGAGTTGTCAGATGCAATATCTAAAATTTCTCAAGACATTGTATTAACTTGTGTAGAGGTTGCATTGGGCAAGTGGCACAAAAGTTTGCTTTGTTATCTCAAAGGAATATTCCACTCATCACCTAGCTAGGGGTAGGGCCAGGAACATGCAAATTCCAGCTCTATGGCATGTGCATCTTAGTAAAACTCTTTGTAAGTTGTACTAGTGAGTTCAAGACTGCCCTGACCTCCTGCATAGCCATGTGCTCCCTCCTGCTCAGTGCTGCTCCATGCTGAGTTGAGGGCAGGTCTGGAGCTTTGGTTGTCCATGACTGCAGGGATGAGACTCTGCTGACAGTTCTAAACTGGCTTTAAAACAGCACAGTTCTTTAACAGCCTAGTTTTAAAAAAATTTGCTCCGTTTTTTCCATTCCAACATTGTCAACACTATCATAGCTAGTACTAGTGTCAGTTACTGGAGTAAAAAATATCTTTCTTTGTCCTGACCACATTTGTGTGGGGTTTTGACATTTTTGGTTTTGACTTTTTTGCTTATATTGGGAAGATAACCCTTGAGATGCTCAGTGCTTTTTCTGCTATAATAAGAGATTAGCAGTGTATAAATTTTGATTATAACTGTGTTGTTACATTTTTTTAGTGTTGCAGATTGTTCAGCTATTGAGGATTCGTGTACTTGTGATTACTCTGGAAACTTGTTGACAGGAAACCAGACATACACATGTTGATATGGCAGTTCCAGAGAGAGAATTCCTCGTGTGGCAGAGCTCTCACTAGGCGAAGTTAGGAAAATAGCATGGTTTAGTTTATTCTGTCAAAGTAAATGGGTTATGCAGTATGGCAACACTCTGGCAAAAAGATACAATCTGTTTTCAGTGTGCATCTAGAGAGGCTTGAGAGGGAGTTTTTGAAAACATTAAGAAAATGTTACACACACCTGGATGTGACTTTCATCATTCAACCATTTGTTTTGCTCTTAAAGCTCTATCTATGTCTGTCACTCTTCTCTCAGAAGGAGCTTTTGAGTATATATAAATTTCCAAAGTTTAACATTTTTCCTTACAATATGGTAGTTAAAAATGCAGATGTTCCTGTTCAGGGAAAGAATTTAACTTCACTCTGACTGTCTTATTGTCTTTCATTTGAAGAAGCACAGTTTAATACTTGATACAAGTTCAGTTCAGCCATGTTTATCTTTTCCTTCTATTTGAGAGTCTTGGCATTTCCATTGTGTTCACCACTGCTGATTTTTTTCTGGCACTTCCAGAACTCTGTAATTCTGTCTGTCAGAAACTGGGATGAACCAGTCTGTCAGTACTTGAAAATCACCTTCTCTCCAAGAGTGTGATAAGACTGAGCCTGATGCATAAGTAAAATGACTGAAATACCTGAGAATGGAGTGCTAAAGCTGCATATTCCTCCCAGATACTCCAATGTTTGCCTCTATTTTGGATAATTCTGTCCTAGGTTTAGGATTGAGAATTTCCAACAACACTGTCATTTGCTGTAGCTGTGCAAGGCAGTGCCACTGTCCTGGTGTGCATCCAGCATTGTGGTGTCAGCCTGTGCTCCTAGTGCTTCACTGACAGTTTCTGTTCTCTCACTGGCCTCTCAGACAATTGCTGTACAAAATAAATCTTTCACTAGACCACCTCCACAATCTTCCAGCATTCTGGAATCCTTCCTAATGTGCATTCTCTTTCTCTAGATTCTTCAAAAAGCAACTCCAGAGCTGAAGCATCAGCTGGCCTCTTTCTCCAAGCGGGTTGCAAGTGCTGTCACAGAGCTCATCCAGTCAGCAGAAGCAATGAAGGGTGAGTTGGGAAGCTGGGCTGCCAGTGTGGCATGCTCATTGCTGATCTGATATTCTGTGTAATATACACTGCAGGCTCTCCTCAGTTATTCCCTGATGTTATCAGTGCATTATCCTTGGAAATTAACCTGAGCTATGAGCAATTTTCATAGATGGGAATCTATTTTTTCTTTCCTCCTTCCCTCTTTCTCTCTTAGTATAGTTCTTATTTTTCACAGAACAGTGATCTACATTATGCTATTTCCCCATTCAAGTAGCTTTATTGAATTCTTCAGCTTTTCCTGCATTCTCTTCTATATTTCCAAATTTTAGTTTCC